AGTCTTTTTTATTCTTATTGAATGTCTTTGAATCATTTCGCAACAAGAAAACGTTTTGGAAAGTTTGAAAGTCAGTCAGCCATGAATGGCTTTATGGTTATTCAGCTGACTTTTGCGACTGTATATGATAAAATTAGGAAGCTTTTGCTTATATGCTGATTTCATGCTTCGAAATAGTTCTGTTTAACTCTTACAGTGGCGAGAACATTTTCTTAACGGCACTCCTGTGATGTGCATTAAGGACAGCTCTGCTAATGCCAGAGACCGTAAATAGTTTTGAGGAGGTTATGCAAACTAAACTGAAATGCCGCGCCAACTGACCCTAAAAGTGAAGGATACAGTAAAATAAACTTTCAGAAAGATGGAAAAACATAGGAGAGAAAATAATCAACTAAAATATAGACATGGATTGCCGATAAACTACCTCAAGGATTCATCTTTGACTTCATGATATGCAAACTCCTGTGAAGTTATTTTTCTGTGGTTCTGCTGAGATGATCATGAAAGCTCTTGCTCTGGTAAATAAAATGTAAGGACATTTAATTTATTATTCGAGCCTTAAATATCACCTTGTACAGCTACTTCTCTTAGCGCTGTCATTGTCCAACTAAACATGGAGTTTTATATGCTTATGCTCATACTGTCAATTCAAAGCTTGTTTATTACGTGATCATCACTTGCAACCAGTGATATTTTGAGATTGATTTAGGCTTCTACGAACAACATATAGAGAACTTTCTCAGTTTCCACCGGACGGATGAACTTATGCTTGCTTTGAAAATATGCACATATATATCGCAGAAATTTCCGCGTGACTAACGACCTGTTGTCGATTGATGAGCAAACAGAAAAAAGGGTCGCTCTCTTTTTGATACCACGCATATTGACTGAGTAGTTCCTAAAAACACTTTCATAGTTCATTTAAAACAATAGTGGACAAAGAACTTGAGAGGCATTTGAGTTGTGATCGTGGATACAACTGGATCGAGACTTCCGTTTTCAACTTCCCCGCTGAGTTGTTCATTTTGAGACCACTGGATCAGTAAACGTTTTACTATGTCTTCAGCAAGAGAACTCGTTCATTTGAAACCTACGAAGCGAAAATGAAAGTAAGATTTTCTGTCTCAATCTTGACACAATCTTTGCATATCGTAATGAAGACTTGCTTTTCAAAAAGCTGTTTTCTCTCAATCCTGGTTCATCGTAGGATTTACAGTATTCGTTATTTACCTTTATTCTGGTGCTTTTGAGTACTCAACAAATATCGCATTTTGTCGGCAATGAGCCGCATCATATTTGAAGAAGCATTATAGCAAAGTTTTGAAACATGCCGTGCCTAATCATCCTAAACTTGACGGATTCAGCAAAATATATTTGATGAGAAAGCTGGTAAAATATAAGAGAGACAATAATCAACTAAAATATTGACATGGATTAAAGATGAAAGGTTTGAAGGATTAATCTTGGAGCTTTACGATATGCAAAAACTGTGATGTTCTCATTTTTGTTAGCTTTGTGTGGTTGTGCCCAAATGGTCATGCAAAAATACTTTCCTTAGTGCTGATCGTCTAAAATGCCAAATACAGTTCAACTTTAAAAATATCTGGTTTGAAAAACAGAATCCTATGGCGAGAAATGGCTAATTTTTCAAGCGAAAATAATTTTCTGCTTTAAGTCGTACATTCAGTAGGAAGACTTAAATTGTACATACACCTCAGTTAAATAAGTCCGATGCAAATTTTTATTGCTTCATTTATTCTCACAGTTACGCATCAACCGTTGTTTGGAAAGGAAAAGATCCTGAAAAACTTCTGTCCGATTGTACACAGTTTGCTGGTTTCAGGAAAATTTTGACAGGTGTGACTCACATAAAAGTAATAGTGGAGTTATTCACTCTGTAACTTTAACTTTAACTTCAATAATCCGTTGTTGACTTACGGTATTTCTCTCGCCTAAATGCGTATGATTTCAAAAATTTTAACACAAGCCTTTGAAACTAAGCGTATGATGAAGATATACTTCATAAATGAGCTACTTTTTTTTCTTTTTTCAGGACAATTGTGTAGCCTCTTCACAAGCTCTGGGTGTTATTATTTCGTTAGAAACACCGTTCTCGAGAAGATCATGTGAGGGGTAAGTAGAACTATGAATTATGAATCGATGCGCACTAAAAGGTCACTTTATTTGAATTTCATAATTTAGTAAGGGTCTGTTTTGTACTCAGACCAGCCGTTTTACTTCCAGCAGTCTTTACTGATCTAGATTAGGGGACAGGAAAATGCTTTTGTGAAGACTGGAACACGTAATGCGTATCAGTCAAGGCGGAAGTTACTATTTTCGTAGGCGACAGGAAACTGAAAGCGAAACCCCTTCCTCACAGTTCGATTTCCGTTGCTAGAGAATGACTTGCCTTCTCTAATTCAATAACACGTTTTCCGAGAACTCGAGTTATCGATTATATTTTTTCAGCAAAATTGCCTTTCAATTCAATCTGATAAACCATATATTATTTGACCACAAGCAATGTTTGGGACAAATCATTCAGTCTTTATATGATTAACTAATTTTCCACAAAATCTGATTCTTATATTTAATGCATATGAGCTGATAAATCCAATTAGTGCTAAAACATAATATTAACAGAGAGGCTTTCCTATACAGAAAACCCAAAAGATAGGGAAGATTTCCATAACAAATAGCCATTGAGGGTGGGATGGAAAGAAAATGGCAAATGAGGTTCAGTGTGCACTAAAGAGGCTATTGAGCATTTGAACTCTAATCTCAAAGCGATCTCTCTAAGTGCCTTAGCATATAGCTTTGCTTTACTAGTAATAGGAACCTCTTACTAGACTGCTCATGTGAAATTATGCAACAGTCAATTCGAAGCTAAGTTTCCAGAAAAACTATCAACGTTTTCCTAAGCAATTTGTCGAATGACCTATTTACATATTAGACCTCCTCAGTTCGCAGTTCAACCTGCTGTGTTCTAAAAATAGCAAACACATGCAGTATCCATGAATTGAAATATCTGAAGGTTTTACCATTATAGGATTCCTCTTATAGGTTCAATTATTTTCCAACAACCCCTTTTCAGCATGATCAAGCGAAACAGCCTTATGTCGTGTATGTCTTTCAGATTGTTCTAAAGCTTTCTTCAGTTCATTACACTGTTCAATAGCAACAATTACTGCCTTAACCCTTTAACTCCCAGATCCAATTTGTAATTCTCCTTTCTGTCATTCGAACAGTTCTTATTAATAATGTTAGTTCGTAGAACTTAGTGTTAATCACTGCGTTATATTCATCTTTCTTTAAGCTTGTAAAAGATATCTGGGAGAAAAGTATGGAAAATAATGGTGATTCTAAGCTACCTACCTTCCAATTCAACTTTAAAAATATCTGGTTTGAAAAACAAGATCCTTTTGCGAGAAATGGCTAATTCTCGTGTGAATTTAACAGGCAACAATCAGTTTTTGCTTCAAGTCATACATTCAGTAGCAAGACTCAAATTGTTAATACACCAGAGTTAATTCAGTCCGATGCAAATTTTTTATTGCTTCATTTATTCTCACTGTTACGTAACGACCGTTGTTTGGAAAAAAAAAAGATCCTGACAACTTCTCTTTGATTGTACAGTCGAACCTCGATTATCCGGACTATTCGATTATCTAGACTTTTTCTCTGGTCCCAATTTTTTATGAATATTAATTAGTTGTGATCTTGAAAACTGAAAGTCGCAAAAAGCCCAATAATCCTTTCAAAAGATTATTGAAACGGCGTATTATTCTGTGCGCTTTTCAAAATTCGAAAGTGCGACGAGACAAAGAAATATCCTGATGCGTGCAGCTGATATCTGATTGGCTCAATTGTTTTGTTGCTACGTGAATTTCATGCTTGATTAGTTCCTTCCGCTTGGGTCATGTATACACACAAGCGATCGATCGTAAACTCAAATCAAAATCATGTCTACGAAGTGAAAGCGAGCCGTTCTATCGATTAAAGATAAGCAGATAATTATTTCACGTTTGGATAAAGGAGAGAAAGAATATAGAATCAGCAAGCAGCAGATCTCGGACATACGGAAGGACAAAGACAAGAACCTAAAATCTACAGACAGCATCGATACAAGCGAAGGATTAAAGTGAATCATTAATATTCATATTTTCGATTATCTGGACTCTCGATTATCCGGACTATTTATCGAGGTCCCGACGAGTCCGGATAATCGAGATTCGACTGTACATAGTTTGCTAATTTCAGTAAATATCGACAAAATGTACTCACATACACATATTATCTGTAGATCGTGTCTCTTGTTGCATATTTTAACCACGTGCACGTCTGCTGCAGACGTAACTTGTCAGTCTGGCAATCACTCCTTAATGATATATTATAAAGAATGAAGAACGTTAGAATATACTGATTCTTTATAGTGCGCTTCTCACACCATTTTACGGTTCAATATTGATTGTGCCGTTTCTCTTTTTCAGAAATTATGACATCATCCCCTTCTTACGTGCTACCTCTTAAAAGAGGAAACTTCAACTTAAGGTTTGTAGTAGTCCAGTTTGCACACATGGATTCCCAGTTGAATTTCCACGTGATCAAGGTTCTACTCTGTATGCGATCTTGCGATAGGGAACTTGAAATTGTTTTCAAAGGCAAAGAGTTTTCTAATTGTGTGTGATGTTAGCAGAATAGCGTTGGTATGTTGAGGGCCTAAATGTAATAACTGTCATAAATGTAATAATATTTGGTCCTAAATGCAATAAGCCTCTAATTAAATTGTTTAACTGCGCCAGTGCATTGTTGTTCTTGCGGACATTTACATTGATTCTCAAAGCTGGCAAAACAATGAGTACGGTGACCAATACCTTTCTTTGTATTATTGGCTCAGACTCTTTAGTGCAACAGATTCTGATGATATACTTATATGCAATTTCAAGGAAAAGGAAGTCCACTGACCTTTACGTCAGAAAAATTCCGGGCTTGTGGAAAAAATGAAAAAAGAAAGCTCAACAGTGTCCACTTATAGTTATGGGGTACATGAACTAATTACCGACGTGGAGCGAAGCCATAGAGGGTTAGAAATGCAATATCCCAGGTTAAAAAGTGTATATCGGAGCCTTCAAGTTGTCTTACCTACAAGTTGACGGAATCCCTTGTCCAAGTTTGTAATTTGGTTTATGACCGGTTAACTCCATCACTGATCACACAAGTATTACGCGATATATGGAGAGGTATTGGTCAGCGTACTCATTGTTTTGCCAGCTTTCATTTGATGCCAATTGTTCATCAGTATAACGGTTTGCAGCCAATGCTTCTCCACTTAAGTCCGGCTAATAAGAAGACGCTGATTGATATCAGCGAACCTGCAATGTGACATGAATACTGGTCAGTGGGTTTTTTGGTGCAACAGCTGTCACTTTAACATCTCTATGTGGATGTCCGCCATAACAACAATGCACTGACGAAGTTGAACGATTGCATTGGAGGCTTCCTATATTTAGGAGCAAATGTTATTACATTTAGGACTTTATTACATTTATGACAGTTATTACATTTAGGCCTTCAATAATGGTATTGCTGCTTTTGCTTGTGCCGGATCGGTCGGTATTAGTGATGCCGGCGGTACATCTATTGCTGAGGCACTCAAAGTCAGCGAGACGTTAAACAATTTGAATTTGTCTGACAATCGTTATAGTGATGCCGGTGCTACATCTATTGTTGAAGCAATCAAAGCCAACAAGACGCCAACCAACTTAGATTTGTCTTTCAGTGGTATTAGTAATGCTGGTGTTACATCTATTGCTGAGGCAATAAAAGTCAACAACACGCTAACCCATTTGGATTTGTCTGAGAATTGTATTAGTAATGCCGGTGCTACATCTATTGCTGAGGCAATCAAAGTCAACAAGACGCTAACCCATTTGGATTTGTCGGAGAATCGTATTAGTGATGCCGGTGCTACATCTATTGCTGAGGCAATCAAAGTCAACAAGACGCTAACCCATTTGGATTTGTCGGAGAATCGTATTAATGTTATCTATTGCATTCAAAGTCAACAACACGCTAACCAATTTGATTACAAATTTTGTGGTGACAGTTATTACATATTGCTGAGGCAATCAAAGTCAACAAGGCGCTCAATTTGAATTTGTCTCACACTAAGTATGGTGACGTCGGTCATACATCTATTGCTTGGCAATCAAAGCAACGGATTTGAATTTGTCGGTCGCCGGTGGTACATCTATTGCTGAGGCAATCAAAGTCAATAACACGCTAACCCATTTGGATTTGTCTTACAATTTCCATAATAATGCTATTGCTACATTTATTGCTAACGCAATCAAAGTCAACAAAATGCAGCGAGACGTTAATCAATTTGAATTTGGATCTGAGAATCATATTAGTGATGCCGGTGCTACATCATTTGCTGAGGCAATCAAAGTCAACAAGACGCTAACCAATTTGGATTTGTCTGAGAATTGTATTAGTGATGCCGGTGCTTCATCTATTGCTGAGGCAATCAAAGTCAACAAGACGCTAACTAATTTGAATTTGTCTCGCAATAATTTTGCTATCGACGGTGGTATGTTTATTGCTATGGCAATCCAACAAAATTTCACGCTAACCCGTTTGGATTTGCCTCTCAATCGTATTGATAAGGATGCAGCTAGATCTATTGCTAAGGCAATCAAAATCAACAAAATGCTCAGCAATTTGAATATGGTTGGCAATGGTATTAGTAACACCGGTGGTACATCTATTGCTGATGCAAGCAAAGTCAACAAGACGCTAACCCATTTTCATTTGCCAAAGAGTTCTCTTAGTGATGCCATTGCTACATATATTGCTGAGAAACTCAAAGTCAACAATACACTAACCCATCTGGATTTGTCTGAGAATTGTATTAGTGATGCCGGTGCTACATCTATTGCTGAGGCAATCAGAGTCAACAAGACGCTAACCAATTTGGATTTGTCTGAGAATCGTATTAGTGATGCCGGTGCTACATCTATTGCTGAGGCAATCAAAGTCAACAACACGCTAACCAATTTGAATTTGTCTTCAAATTGTTGTGGTGACGCCAGTGCTACACCTATTGCTGAGGCAATCAAAGTCAACAAGGCGCTAACCAATTTGAATTTGTCTCACACTAAGTGTGGTGACGTCGGTCATACATCTATTGCTGAGGCAATCAAAGACAACAAGACGTTAACTAATTTGAATTTTTCTCACAATAATTTTGGTGACGCTGGTGGTACATCTATTGCTAAGGCAATCAAAGACAACAATACGCTAACCCATTTGGATTTGTCTTACAATTTCCATAATAATGCTATTACTGCATCTATTGCTGGCGCAATCAAAGTCAACAAAATGCTTACCAATTTGAATTTGGCTGGCAATGGTATAAATAACGCTGGTGGTACATCTATTGCGGTGGCAATGAAAGTCAACAACACGCTAACCCATTTGGATTTGTCTGAGAATCATATTAGTGATGCCGGTGCTACATCATTTGCTGAGGCAATCAAAGTCAACAAGACGCTAACCAATTTGGATTTGTCTGAGAATCGTATTAGTGATGCGGGTGCTACATGTATTGCTGAGGCAATCAAAGTCAACAAGACGCTAACCAATTTGGATTTGTCTGAGAATTGTATTAGTGATGCCGGTGCTTCATCTATTGCTGAGGCAATCAAAGTCAACAAGACGCTAACCAATTTGAATTTGTCTCGGTAATAATTTTGCTATCGACGGTGGTATGTTTATTGCTTCATATATTGGCAATCCAACAAAACCCATTTGGATTTGCTGAGAATTGTTTGTGATGCCGGTGCTACATCAATCGTATTGATAAGGACGCTAACCAATTTGAATTTGTCTAAGAATCGTATCAGTGATGCCGGTGCTACATCTATTGCTGAGGCACTTAAAGTGAAAAACACGCTAACCCATTTGGATTTGTCTGAGAATCGTATTAGTGATGCCGGTGCTACATCTATAGCTGAGGCAATCAAAGTCAACAAGGTGCTAACCAATGTGAATTTTTCTCGCAATAATTGTGGTGACGCCGGTTAGATCATTTGATGCCAAATTCAACAAGACGCTAACCCATTTGTACTTGCTGGAGAGTAATATTAGTGCTGCCGGTGCTACATATATTGCTGAGAAACTCAAAGTCAATAACACGCTAACCGAGTTGGATTTGTCTGAGAATCGTATTAGTGATACCGGTGCTGCATCTATTGCTGAGGCAATTAAAGTGAACAAGACGCTAACCAATTTGGATTTGGTTGGCAATGATATTAGTCTAGACGGTGCTATATCTATTGCTGAAGCAATCAAAGTCAACAAGACGCTAACCAATTTGAATTTGTCACGCAATAATTTTGCTAAACTCGGTGGTATCTTTATTGCTGAAGCAATCCGACAAAACTTCACGCTAACCCGTTTGTTTTTGGATGACAATCGTATTGATATGGATACAGCTACATCTATTCGTAAGGCAATCCAAATCAACGAAATGCTCAGCAATTTGAATATGGTTGGCAATGGTATTAGTAACACCGGTGGTACATCTATTGCTGATGCAAGCAAAGTCAACAAGACGCTAACCCATTTGCATTTGCCAAAGAATTCTCTTAGTGATGCCTTTGCTACATATATTGCTGAGAAACTCAAAGTCAACAATACACTAACCAAGTTGGATTTATCTGAGAATGTAATTAGTGATGCCGGTGCTACATCTATTGCTGAGGCAATCAAAGTCAACAAGACGCTAACCCATTTGGATTTGTCGGAGAATCGTATTAGTGATGCTGGTGCTGCATCTATTGCTGAGGCAATCAAAGTCAACAACACGCTAACCAATTTGAATTTGTCTTCAAATTGTTGTGGTGACGCCAGTGCTACACCTATTGCTGAGGCAATCAAAGTCAACAAAGCGCTAACCAATTTGAATTTGTCTCACACTAAGTGTAGTGACGTCGGTCATACATCTATTGCTGAGGCAATCAAAGACAACAAGACGCTAACCAATTTGAATTTGTCTCACAATAATTTTGGTGACGCCGGTGGTACATCTATTGCTGAGGCAATCAAAGACAACAACACGCTAACCCATTTGGATTTGTCTTACAATTTCCATAATAATGCTATTGCTGCATCTATTGCTAACGCAATCAAAGTCAACAAAATGCTTACCAATTTGAATTTGGCTGGCAATGGTATAAATAACGCCGGTGGTACATCTATTGCGGTGGCAATGAAAGTCAACAACACGCTAACCCATTTGGATTTGTCTGAGAATCATATTAGTGATGCCGGTGCTACATCTTTTGCTAAGGCAATTAAAGTCAACAAGGTGCTAACGAATTTGAATTTGTCTCGCAATAATTGTGGCGACGCCGGTGGTACATCTATTGCTGAGGCAATCAAAGAAAACTACTCGTTAACCCATTTCGATTTGTCTCGCAATCCTGTTTATAATGCTGTTGCTACACCTATTGCTAAGGCAATCAAAGTCAACAAAATGCTAAGCAATTTGAATTTGGTCGACAATGGTATAAGTAACGCCGGTGGTAAATGTGTTGCTGACGCAAGCAAAGTCAACAACACTCTAACCCATTTGGATTTGCCAAAGAGTGATATTAGCGATGCCGGTGCTTCATATATTGCTGAGAAACTTAAAGTCAAGAACACCCTAACCCATTTGGATTTGTCTGAGAATTGTATTAGTGATGCCGGTGCTACATCTATTGCTGAGGTAATCAAAGTCAACAAGACGCTAACCAATTTGAATTTGTCTAAGAATCGTATCAGTGATGCCGGTGCTACATCTATTGCTGAGGCACTTAAAGTGAAAAACGCGCTAACCCATTTGGATTTGTCTGAGAATCGTATTAGTGATGCTGGTGCTACATCTATAGCTGAGGCAATCAAAGTCAACAAGGCGCTAACCAATGTGAATTTTTCTCGCAATAATTGTGGTGACGCCGGTGCTAGATCTATTGCTGATGCAATCAAATTCAACAAGACGCTAACCCATTTGTACTTGCTAGAGAGTGATATTAGTGCTGCCGGTGCTACATATATTGCTGAGAAACTCAAAGTCAATAACACACTAACCGAGTTGGATTTGTCTGAGAATCGTATTAGTGATACCGGTGCTACATCTATTGCTGAGGCAATTAAGGTGAACAAGACGCTAACCAATTTGAATTTGGTTGGCAATGATATTAGTCGAGCCGGTGCTAAATCTATTGCTGAGGCAATCAAAGTCAACAAGACGCTCACCAATTTGGATTTATCTGACAATCGTATCAGTGATGCCGGTGCTACATCTATTTCTGAAGCAGTCAAAGTCAACAACACGCTCACCAATTTGAATTTGGTTGGCAATGATATTAGTCGAGCCGGTGCTAAATCTATTGCTGAGGCAATCAAAGTGAACACTCTAACCGATTTGGATTTGTCTGAGAATCGGATTAGTGATTCCGCTGCTACATCTATTGCTGAGGCAATCAAAGTCAATAACACTCTAACCGAGTTGGATTTGTCCGAGAATGGCATTAGTGATACCGGTGCTACATCTATTGCTGAGGCAATCAAAGTCAACAAGACGCTGACCAATTTGAATTTGGTTGGCAATGATATTAGTCGAGCCGGTGCTAAATCTATTGCTGAGGCAATCAAAGTCAACAAGACGTTAACCAATTTGGATTTGTCTGACAATCTTATCAGTGATGCCGGTGCTACATCTATTGCTGAAGCATTCAAAGTCAACTACACACTAACCAATTTGAAATTGTTTCTCAATGGTATAAGTAGAGCCGGTGCAACATCTATTGCTGAGGCAATCAAAGTCAACAACACTCTAACCGAGTTGGATTTGTCTGAGAATCGTATCAGGGATTCCGGTGCTGCATCTATTGCTGGGGCAATCGAAGTCAACAACACTCTAACCGAGTTGAATTTGTCTGAGAATAATATCAGTTATTCCGGTGCAATTTCTATTGCTAGGGCAATCAAAGTCAACAACACTCTAACCAAGTTGGATTTGTCTACGAATAATATTGGCGATATCGGTGCTGGATTTATTATTAGTTGTTTGACAATTGTATTCGTCGTAAGGTGATAATGGATTTTGTGACTCAAGAGGAATATTACGAAATGACAAGGGTCTTAAAATGGTAACAAATGTGTACAAAACTGCGAATGACTCGAACGGATTCTGGAGGAATAATTGAACTGATAGTACTTTTCCTTTTCTACTTTTCATTCTAGGAAAATTTTTAATCTTTTCCTTTTTGTGAACGCATGGAACAGTTTTTGAGGAGTTATTTGTAAATTGTTCATAGTTGCACTTTGATTAGATAACATTCAAGTTATAATAGCTATCTTAATGATGTTATCGTCATTTAAAGTGATGCTCCCGAAGTATTTACCTTAGAAGAGAAGAAGTTATTATTATTGTTATTAAAGGAATATCATTGGTATGTATCATCCACGAGCAGCCGACTTTCTTTCCAATCTTTCCAAGCTTCGACCGCCTCTCTTACTAGTTAAACCAAAACATTAAAAATTTATAGACATTGTTTTTTTATTTCTGTTGCGATCTGCAGAGCCATTGAATGAAATTTGACCACTTAAAACTTGTGTGGGGGAGGGGGGGGATGGACAATATGTGCGGAAGCGTGACAAAGGTCTATAGCCGGCGGATGCTACAGACCCTATTGCTAAGATATAGCATCGTCATTTTGTGTGCTGACGGGAGGAACCACGATAGGGTTTCGCTAGATCAAGTATCATTTACATATCTTCATCAGCAACAACCGGAAACTCGTCGTTGATCGCAGTGATCTAAACTAAATGGCTTTTGACTTCCGTCTTCCATTACTTCGCATCTTCGTTCGCTGTGATCGGTATTATACATTGTATTCAAGTTTTTTATTTTGCATCTATAAATATCAATAGACGGGCAACGAGTATGTTCGTGAAAGTATTCGCCGTTTAATTAAATCTTTCACGTCGCCAAAGGAGCACTGGTAACGAGTTTCCGAGTCGGATGATTGTCGGAAACTGTCGGCTCTTGCAATATGGCGGACTATTCCAGTAACACCAATTGCGATTTACCAACAGTCAAGCCAGGTGATTGAACCAAACATGAACATTATAATATGCTTTACATGTGGAGAATACGTTTTTGAGTTTAAATCAAGGAAATTTTGCTAAATTTTGTGTGGCTGTTTCCTTCACCCTCGTCGATCTTAACTTTCTTGTTCAGCAGTCTTAGCTTAACACTGTAGCCGCTAAGATCTACGCTTGCAAAGGTAAACAAAGCTTATGCCCTTGTCATAGTGCTACTGGTTGGAAAGATCCCCAAGATGAAATTTCTATATTGTCTTGTAGCTCTGGCCGGTAGGATCTCGGGAGGCTTAGAAAATACTACCAGCTAGAGGTACACCTTGCATATTTAGTCAACGTTTCTTAATTGTTACTACGGTTTGCTTCACATTTTACTTTTCTGCATTCCATATTAGTCTTACACTCCTTTGAATCGCTTTTTACAAGAATACGTACACATTTATTTATTTCTATTTGGTCTTGTACTCAATGGGGATGAAGGCTTTAAAATACTAACGGTTAAAATTTCGTACATTTTACGTCTAATGATCGCAAATAAACAAAAAATTATACGCTCTATTGTTTTTTTCATGCGACAAGCGGTTAAAATTGGTCAATTTTGCGATTATTTACAATGCCACGGTGATCATTTACATTTATTTTTTTATTTGGTATTGTACCTCTAGCTCGTAGGATCTTAAATTAAGAGGCTTAAAAAATACTACCGGCTAGAGGTACAGCTTGCATATTTAATCTCCTTTGCCCAATTTTACTGCATTTTTCTTTGAATTTTGCTTTTTGGCATTCCGTCTAGTTTCACACTACAATAGAATCACTTTTTGATCAATATCTTCTTAGATGTTGGTCGTGTACCTCTAGCCGGTACAGAATTTATACAATTGTATAAATGAGATTAACCTATGCCTGCGTTATTTAATGTACTTTTAAATAAAATTTGCTATTATTAAGAAGAAATCAAACCTTTCTCAATTGGAAACCAGCCAGAAACCCTTTGCTTATTCCCAAATAATGCCTGCTCTAGTTTCAGCTGATTCCCCATAAAGAGTCATTTCATGCTTGTAGCTTGTGTGTTGTGCTATCAAATAAGCAATACCAGGTACACAACTAAGAAAAAGAAGATATTCTTGATGAAAAAAAAGACTCCAATGTAGTGTAAGACTAAAACGGAATGCCTAAAGTAAAATGCAAAGCAGACTGTTAAAAAAATTGGTCAATTAAATATGCAAGCTGCACTTCATGTATTTTCTAAGATCCTACTAGCTAGAGGTTATAGACTAGAATGCAAGACTAATTTGGATTGCAGAAGTAAAATGAGCAAACCTCATTAAAAATTGGGCAAAGTTGACTTAATATGAAATTAGAAGATCCTCGCAGCTAAGAACACTACTGAAACTAGTAGTTGTAAGTAGGACCTGAAAAAAAAAAAAAAAAAATTTCAGGCCCGTACGGGATTTGAACCCATGACCTCTGCGATACCGGTGCAGCACTCTACCAATTGAGCTAACAAGCCAACTGGGAGCTGGTCAATGAATTGGGTGCAGCGCTCTACCAATTGAGCTTTCAGGTCCTACTTACAACTACTAGTTTCAGTAGTGTTCTTAGCTGCGAGGATCTTCTAATTTCATCTTTCCACCGCAGTGCAAATATATGAATTTTCATATATCTAATTCTTCATTCACTCGGATGTTTATTTGTACCCAATTCATTGACCAGCTCCCAGTTGGCTTGTTAGCTCAATTGGTAGAGCGCTGCACCGGTATCGCAGAGGTCATGGGTTCAAATCCCGTACGGGCCTGAAATTTTTTTTCAGGTCCTACTTACAACTACTAGTTTCAGTAGTGTTCTTAGCTGCGAGGATCTTCTAATTTCATCTTTCCACCGCAGTGCAAATATATGAATTTTCATATATCTAATTCTTCATTCACTCGGATGTTTATTTGTACCCAATTCATTGACCAGCTCCCAGTTGGCTTGTTAGCTCAATTGGTAGAGCGCTGCACCGGTATCGCAGAGGTCATGGGTTCAAATCCCGTACGGGCCTGAAATTTTTTTTTTCAGGTCCTACTTACAACTACTAGTTTCAGTAGTGTTCTTAGCTGCGAGGATCTTCTAATTTCATCTTTCCACCGCAGTGCAAATATATGAATTTTCATATATCTAATTCTTCGTTGACTTAATATGCTAGCTGCACCTCTGGTTGGTAGTCGTTTCTAATCCTCCTGAGATCCTACCAGCTAGAGGTATAAGACCAAATAAAGAAAAAAATTCAAATTTATTCTTAAAAAAATGATTCCAAAGAGTGTAAGGCTACAACTTGGAGTGCACAAAAGTAAAATGTGGAGCAAGCCATAATAAAAATTGGGCAAAGTCCACTAAGTACTCAAGCTGTACCTTTAGCCGGTAGTATATTCTAACCCCCTTGAGATCCTACCAGTTGGAGGCACAAGACCAAATAAAAATAAATAAAGTCGTACTATTGTTGAAAAAAGTGATTCAAAGGGGTCTAAGACTAATTTGGAGAGCAGAAAAGGTAAAATGCGAAGCAGACCGTAGTAACAATTGGGCAAAGTTGATTAAGTATGCAAGCTGTACCTCTAGCCGGTAGTATTTGCTAAGCCTCCGGAGATCCTTCCGGCCAGAGGTACAAGACAATAGAAATTTCATCCTGAGGATCTCTCCAACCAGTAGCACTATGACAAGGGCATTATAGTGGCGATACTATTCATAAGTTTTGTTTACCTTTGTAAGCGTAAATCTTAGCGGCTACAGTGTTAAACTCTACTGAACAAGAAACTTAAGATCGACGAGGGTGAAGGAAACAGCTTGATTTAAACTCAACAATGTATTTTTCACATGTAAAGCATGTTATAATGTTCATGTCTGGTTCAATCACGTCGCTCGATTGTTGGTAAATCGCAATTGGTGCTACTGGAATAGTCCGCCATATTGCAATAGCCGACAGTTTTCATGAATCACCCGACTCGGAAACTCGTTACCAGTGCTCCTCGGGCGTACCTCTAGCCGGTAGGATTTAGGCACAACCCAGATTTCAGGGAAGGGAGTTGTTTATGACATGTGCAGATGACATTATTGACCAAAGTAACATAACACCTGAAACCGAGTAACACCGTTACGCAATGAAAACTAACTTCACAATGCGTTTTTCGGCCTCATGAAAAAAGAAATCGTTTCAAAAAATCTCTAACAGGATTCCTCTAACGTTCACATACGCAATAATTATATTTTTTCTTCTGAAGCGGCAGACGAGTTGTCGTTAAAGTTCCTTTTAAACAACATCGCGTGATTCATTTCATATCACCTCTCGCTACAGGTCATGCATCTTAAGACTGTAACAAGACACGCACGACAGATTTCACTTGATGTTCTCTCTATTTTGTATCTTTCCTCTGGTAAAGGAAGATAATGTTTCCCTGTAGTACTTACATAATCCTTTGTGTTTATTTTTATTCAGTATATTTGAGCGTATAAGCGTTAGATAGCGTTTTTCTCCAAAAACTCCGAGTGTTACGTTCGTCTTGTATTTGCAAATTTTTAAGGGAAATAATCCACCCCTCCCCCCCTCCCCCAGCCAGAAACTCTTACCTTCCGCGCTCGTAGTTGCGACTTAATCCTTTTACGTCACTTTTTTAACTTTTCCTCTTTGTGAACGCATGGAAAAGCTTTTGAGGAGCTTTTAATTAAAAAGGTCCTTAGTTGTACTTTGATAAGATTACATTTAAGTTATAATAGCTACCTTTGTGATGTTTTCTTCATTTAAGGTGATGTTTATCCTCTTGAGTTATTTACCTTAGAAGAAAAGAAGTAGTGTAACACGCTATTGTTTTTAGAGCTTTGTTATTCAAGGAATATCATTGATATGTATTATCCACAAGCAGCAACATTCACCCATACTTTCCAAGCTTCGAGCGCCTCTCTTTCGATATAAACCCCAAAAAAATTTATCGGCGTCTTTATTCCTGTTTTGATCTGCAGAGCCATTCAATAAAATTTGACTACTAAAGCCTCCTTAAAGGGGAGGTGTGTGGGGAAGGGGGGTGGACAATAGGGGCGAGGTGGGGACACAATAGGGGCGAAGTAAACAAAAGTGTTCTGTAGATAACTCTAAAATGGGGATCAGTATTGCTGGCTTATGCTTAATTTGGTATTATCAACTGAGTTGATACCGTAAATTGGCCTCCGTAAAGAGTTACAAAGCTGAATTTTCGAGCGTCAGCCCTTTTTCCGAGCTAACACTCGAAACGTCAACTTTGTAACTCTTTACGGTAAAAAAATTTTCTTTACCAACCTAATTATCATACAAATGTGATACGAATTGTACACGTAACGTAAATGTCTTAAAGGCTTCTGAATTTTCTGTTGAACAGAGGTCAATTTATTTTCACTTGTGTATTCAGATTTCAAGCTTTCTCTATTCTCTTTTATAATTTAGACACATTTGTTTCAAAATTAGTCTCATTTGAGGGTACCCTGTTTGCAGTTTATACATCAATGAGATCACGTGTCATGAACATTCTATTTCATCATATTTTAATTTGTTCATTTACTGAATATTCTCTTCAATGCTTGCTCGATTTGTTTTTTACGGAAGTAATTCGTTTAAGTTCTCTATTTTTCCCGATCGGAAGACAAACCTTTGCATCAAATTCAGTGTCATAAAAAATGCTGGTGAATCCGTCTGCCTCAGCTGACAACCGTATCGACTCTCTGATTGAATTTGTTGTTGAATATATGATGTGTGCAGCTAGCGAGCTACAAACCCGATTACTAAGATATAACATCGCCATCTTGTGTACTGACAGGAGGAACCACGATAGGGTTTCGCTAGACCAAGTATCACCAACACATCTTCTTCATCAGCAACAGCCGGAAGCTCGTCGTTGATCGCAGTGATCCGGAAACTAAATGGCTTTTGACGTCCGTCTTCGATTATTTCGCATCTTTGTTGGCTTTGATCGGTGTTATACAGTGTATTCAAGTTTTTTCTTTTGCATCTATAAATACCAACAGACGGGCAACGAGTATGTTCGTTAAAGTACTCGCCGTTAAAATCCTCCATGTTGCCAAACACTTCTTTAACAGTCTGATGACTATAGTCGACGAGAATGTCGAACAGCATGCCGACATTAAAGTCTCCTGCCGCCTGAAGGTAACTTACAAATACATTATCCTGCTGATGAGGATGTGAGATTTGTAGAGGATCGCGGCTTTTTTCGAAAAGGTGTTCCTCTCCGATCTGAAGTTCGGGGTCTTTAGGAAGCCAAGTGGAAGTACTTTTCCGTAACGCAGGCCTAATAAATTTACCCTGCTCAATATCTAAACCGATGTAACAAACTCCATTGCACCTCTTTGCTTTGACGATGATTAGCAACTTCAATAAATTCTTGGACATTCTCAGAGGAGCACTCTAGCGACATTGTCAGGGCTATACAGTCTCGATTTTCGATTAGAATCACCCAGACCGAATTTTCCTTTATTTACTTACCGACGCGTATCAAGCTATGGAAGTGAAGGCGACAGCTGACAATATTACAAACGGCAACGTCATCGGTTTGTTATTGAAACTGAAAAAAAAAAAAGTGAATACTTAATAGAGGGTCTCAGCGGTGTGATGGCTTTTACGGCTAACGGTTGAAATTCCGGCCATTTTACGCCAATGATCGCGATTAAACAAAAAATCATACCCTTTATTTTTTTTTTCGCGACAAACGGTTAAAATTGGTCAATTTTGCTCCTAACCATTGCTTATCACGCCACGGTGATTGGGTTTGCGTGATGAATTAGTCACAGTAAAAGAAGATACCGGTATTCATTCACTTTCTTGTCGCTGGGCGTGAACCTTATGGCGTAACATACGCTATAGAACCTTGACAAATGGTAGCAGAAAAATATCAAAAATAAATTATAGAAAGATAAAGAAAACTTACAAAAATTTGAATTGGTTTAGGGTTTAGAGAGCTGATCATGAGTTCTTTTTACACGCTGACTGAGCATTATGCGGTATACACCGCTTCAAGCTAAATGTGAGAAAGACCTGGCCCGTGCGGGGGGGGTTCTTGGGGGTTACATTTTGCTGGGTGTGTGCCGCTGGCTTTTTACAACCCCTACCACTAAAATATTCTGTGGCAAATCATAGACCCCATCTTGGTCACTTTTGGTATACCGTTGACAACTTTTTTTATATCGAACCTTCCCATTTTCAAATACCTACTTACTTACGCTTCGCGAAAATGTGCGATCGCATTCTGGTAAATCTGTTGAAAATGCAACCCCAATCAACCCAGCCGTGAATATGCGACTCCTTTTAGCGGCACATTTCATTAGCCTATTACCGGAATGTGCCCCCTCCTCATCCACGGAGGATGGAAAATTTCTCCATGGGAAGAGAGCTAGCCCGTTAAATTTATGGTTTTTAAAAGTTTCAAGGGACGAAGACCACAAGAGAGGTTTATTGAGTGCCTAAACTCGCCAGGCAGGCTTTATCTTTTATGCTGATGTGCAAACCTATTTTAAACACACCGCTGTTCAAGGGACCCTAATTTTTATTTTGCTGCCGGAACCCATTTCCAGTCTTTCCCGGTATTCTGCTTAAGCGGAATGCCTTGTGGTAATTTGGTTGCTTCGTTTGCTTTCCGTCAATCTCTGTGCATAAGAGTAGGCGATTCTGTCTTCTTCATCCTCTCGACTTCCTTTCTGAAGAAACCAAACGACTCCATGACAGACAAAGAGATGTACTTCGCTTTCGGTTCGAACATGAACCCAGACCGTATGCGGGATCGTAAAGCCTTCTTCACCGCTCGAGTTGGAGCTAAATTGCTCGACTACAAGATGACTTTCTCTTTTAGGAGACCGGATGGGGGTGGCTCTTGTAACATTAGACCAGAGAAAGATTCAGTGGTTCATGGAGTTTTGTACACTCTTGACGCGGGAGGGTTAGATAAACTGGATGTTTTTGAAAAAGTCTCAGATGGATGGTATCGTCGAGAACGAGTGACAGTTGAGAATTCTGCGGGCGAAAAAGTGAACGCGACAACTTATATTGTAACAGAGCAGTTTTATCAAGAGGGATTAGTTCCATACAGAGATTACTTAGAACATTGCTTGGCTGGCAAGGATGTTTTGCCGGCAGAATACTACAATTTCTTAGAATCATTTAAGAAAGTCTGCAAGGAATAACAACATGGAACACTAGAAATTGGGACCCTGATAGCGTTTTCACCTTTTAACTTATTCTTGTGAAATGAAATTTGTGTTTCATAGACTGCGGGGGATGTTTTGATGTTAAGAATACGATTTTTATTGAAATGAAATAAGGTAGGAAAGGAAGAAAATTATTTTATCTCTGGTCTCCATCATTGCCGTGGAAGACCTTTGTTTATATTTTTATGTCAATTATTCATTTTGCCTATGATAGCAGTGAAGCAGGTGGTTGGCATGGGTTGGGTTCAAAAACGATGGGTTTGAGAAAACATCACATTTTTTGTTATTAGGGTTGGATAAAATAAAGTTTCCTTTTTTCCGTCATGAATGCAGGGTATTTAAGATAATTCCTTTAGTGTCACATGAATGATCAGGATATTTTAAGGGTTTGATAGATCACACTCGTGGCTTAAAATAACTTTCAAATTAAAACATTGTATAACCACCTTGCCACATTTGGAAATACTTACGGTGTTGTTTCCTGTTCAAATTATCCAACAGCAATTCATCTTACAATGAATTTGAAAACTATCAAGAATTGTTCCTTAGTTAAAACTTTTTATTTCTAGTCAGCTTTAAATGTGTCAAATGAACATTTTAAAGCAAATTTGATTGCATGTATCATTATAACTCAGTGGAAGAGGTGACTGATTATGAAAGCTGGCAAAAAATACCATAAGGAAGCAGTGTTGCTGCTGTGTATGTTGGGATCTCTGTGACTGTCCACAAAATTGCATTTTTTTATCATTTTCAATGATTGAATAATATGGAATTTTATTTTGGTCATATACTTCAATGCAAATGGAGTAATTTTGAACAATAAGCATGGTCAGGTTTGATAAGATCCTCACAATAACATACTTACTCTCAGAAGTAATTAACATGTTACTTCTCCCTATAATATCGATACATTACCCAGCGAACAGTTAAAGAGAATACTCTGACTTATCAGGCAGAGGCTATTTTCTTGATCTAACAACAAATTCTTTTTTCATTTGAAAAGGTAATGTTTAACTGCTAGAAGGGAGAATTCACAATCAGATCTTGGGGAGTAAACTAAAGAGCAGGTGGGAATTATCCTCAAGAACCTAAATTATTACTCTTTCTTTATTGGGGCCTCAGAGAATCAAACTGGTACATGTATGATAAGTGTTGTTTGGATGGATCATCAACTGCCACAGGATAACACTGATTAGTTTATGCTAGAACAGTGGATAGTATTGAAGGTGCATGCTTTGCTATTAACCTTCTAATAACTCCCCAGAGATTTGCACTGATAAATATTTTAATTGTTGCAGGAATAAATGAGTTAAAATCATCTTTTTTTGCTATGTTATCTTGCTGTTTTAGTGCATACTAAACCAACTTTTCATCTCATTGTTGGTGGCAACCAGTGGATTTTAATTACTGGGCAGCTTTGTGGCTTGGTTGACATCTTCCACAAGCCACCTCCATTTTGGTGAATTTTAATTATTCTTAAGTCATGCTGGTCACTACAGCACTTGAGAAAATCAAGGAGTTATTAAATGTCTGACTGGGTTTTAAGGAGTCCTCAACCCATTACCATCATAATCATGACCACTTAGGGATTAGCTGATACTTAGTGGAAAGACTGAATGAGTTTTGATGCTTTCTGTGTTTCTCCCCACAAAAAAAAATGATCCTATTGTTAAAAATTGTACACAAAGCAAACATGTTAATAACATTTCCTGATGTTTTCTCACTTATGGGATACCTCTAAAATACCTGATAAGTCCATCTTTTTTATAACAGACCTCACAGCAGAGGATTCAATAAGTTTTTAAGAAAAATGCAAAAACTTCAAAGTCAGCAACTTGTGGAAGTTTGATCCTTACTCTAATGTTGTTAACCCTTTCACTCCCATGAGTGATCAAAACAGAATTTCTCATCACAATATCACTATAAACTCAAGCAGACAAGTGAGGAGAATAAAGAAAAATATCAATGAGGGGATTATCAGTTGATCTAATGGCAAGTTCTCCAAACTAACATGATAGGAATTGTATTGAAGACAGTAATGAGAATTACAAATGGTAGTAAAAGGGCTAACAGAAAATAGGAAGCAATTTGGCCTGAAATACAGAACAGCTTGGCAGCTTTAAATGAAACCCCTGCTATAATGGCTAAGCATCGCATAGTGTCACATAAATTGTGAACTTACCCTGTTTTAGACTTCCCTGTGCACCAATGAGTAAATATGATTCATTTTTGTCAAAAATTGCAGTCAGATTGGGTGCATTACAATCCACACTCATCTCTTCCCCACAGACAACCAAGCCTATTTTAAACCTTTACACCCTAACATCAGTATCCAAGTTCTGCATACTGTTCTCCATACATTTTCTGGGATACTGACAAGGAGAATTTGTCTTACAATCAAGAGTTTCTTTAGTTTCTTGGTATTTCCTTTTTTTCTCATGACCCTAATGTTTGATTCAGGAGTAATGCTGTTGGGAGAAATAAGAGGCTTATCACTATTAGGGATTTCAGTGTTGAACTTTTCAACTTTTGAGTTTGTAATGGGCTGTGAGGTCATCCTTTCAGAAATATTTTGAAATCTGAAGGACCCAAAATAGTATTTTCAACCTTCTCCAAGAGATGTTATATGACAAAAAGTTTCAAACAGTTTTTGTATAAGGTTGTACATCTGGCTTTTTTAATTATTTTTGTTTTCTTTTTAATGCTCTTCTATTCTTCATATGTACCTCATACTAAGACAAAATTAAATGTAATCCCTGGCAAAAGCCCCTCCTTCCACCCCCTCTCCCCCTCCCTCCAGCTCTGACAGTCCCTGCTCCTTCCCTTCTCATTTTTTGATGGGAACGGAAAAGAAGTTTACATTCAGTCCTGAGGTGAGAAATCAAACACAGCAAGAAACACTGATGACGATTTAATTAAACAAATTATTGTTTGCAATACTTTCCAGGAATGGTGACATACACCTGGCAAACCTCAACTACCTTAGAAAAAAAAATCAGCTCGCATTTTCCTCCATCACTACTTCCAGTTCTTGAAATGGAACCAGTCTTTTCACGTCTTTATCATTTCTTACTATAGTGTTTGGTAACTTTCTTATTTTCTTAACATTTTTAGCTTCGATGCCTAGCTCTTGGCAGCAAACTGACACAAGAAATTGAAATGTCAGACTACTTTTGTCAAGATCAACTTCTATAAAGTCTTCCTCTTCTGAATCGGCAACTCGCAACTTTATGACAATTTCCTTTTCAGAATTTTCAGCACAACAATTTGAATTACCCGAAGCGTTTGCATCTGTCGAAGATTCGTGGTTCCACGTATTTGAAATAGTAGTCCCTTGCTGTCTAAATCTGGAATCCTCATTCCTAGAATTGTCTTTTTCGGCGTAGAAAAACTCCGGATTTCGAAGATAGTTCGGCACGATAGGTAAAGACTCACCGGCTTGGCTTGATTCGATACCATCACCTTCTCCAAGCAGTTTCTTGATACCACTGTCATTGGAAAGTTTAGCAGCAGTTTCCCCTTTATGTGTGAGCGCTGCCGAATCAACTCCTTCCTGAATGAGGTATTTCACAATACTCAAATGTCCTCTTTTCGCTGCCCAATGTAGAGGCGTCCATCCGTTCATCGCGTTCGCAGCATTTATGTTGACACCTCTCTGGACGAGTGCTTTTACATTTATTTCGTCGCCAATGCAGCATAATTCACGCAATCTTTCTTCCAAATTCATCTTGGCTTCCATTGCTGTTGAGCTTTTGCGCCGCGTTAGTACAAATTTTTTGATTGGTTCATTAATTTCTGCCCGACTTGGAACACAACTGTCCAATCACACAGTGCGATATTTAGCTTTTTATAGGTTATCCGCTGAGTGGCACGTGCTTGTTCGTGGTCGTATAAACAACATGGCGGCTCGGAGGCAGAAAGCGGGAACAGTCTCATCAAGTTTGGAAGCCACTTCCGACTCCACAAGCCATGTAGATGTTGATCTGTAAGCAGTTTTGGGTTTTGATGTTTATTATTCTCTCGTTTCGCACGCTGATCTTAATATTCAGCGGTAACGTTGTTACGACTACTGATTTGAGACCAAACTCTTTGGGTATCGATTTCCACCAGTGCCTTGACGTCGAGGAAATCAACCTCGTTTCCTTCTCTCCTGAAATGCAAATCATTTTACAAAGTAGATTTTAGGATTTAAATATGTAGATGCGAATCAAAACAGAGCCTAAAGGGATATCACCAACTTCCCAGGTGCTGTCGCCGAGTTTCTTGGGATAAACTCTTGAGCTGCATTACTATCAGCGCCAGAAACAGGCTTAGGCACATGGACTAAGGGCCGAGGAAGTTTGGACTAATTCAAGCATTTCTGTCGTGGCTTATGCCCTCCGTCCTCCTACAATATTTGGAAGATTCCTCTTTTGAAATGATTCCCTGTTCAAATCTAAAATGCTCCTGTGGTCAACTTATTGTAAAACAGTGTAGCATTCGAGAGACATATAAACGACCTGTGAGATATGTGTTTGTTTTCCAGAACTAAAAACTATCCCCCAGGAAAGCGAGGAAGATTGAATTAGTAGGTCATAAGCCAAGGCCTATTCTTGAATGTTTAGCTTAGCAGCTAAATTTGTTTCTTGATAATATCAATCAATTCTTTTAAAAAAAAAAAAAATTCTATACTCCTCTAATCCATTTCAAATATCTTGTATCAATACTTAAAAAAGAAGAAATTGGAACCTAAAAGACGAAACAAAACAAAAAGAGTCCTGTCTGGTATAGCCTCTATCCTTGAAGTATTTGAATTGTTAAGGGGGGCTTTGATTCTTCTTTGTGTCATACCCTTAAGAAAATTAATGTTTTACATCTTTATTCACACCACATCTAAGTCCAAAATTTGCCATCTTTGTGATGTAACTCAAGTTTTAAATTCTCACAATTTTGGTCAATTTCATATTTCAGTATACAAAATGTCAGCAAATTTTCTTCCTTGTTAGAGGTTTTGGCCCTCAATCCATTAAACTCCCAAGATGTGCTTGTTAATTCTCCTCTCTAGCTGATACACATTTCCTCATTAGTTAGTTACAAGAATTTGGTGTTAGATCAAGATTACTACTTCTTCCTGATAAGTTTGAGTATTCTCATTACCTGTTTGCTGGATTATGTATGAGTCTCATAGGGAGAAGTTGCAAGTAAATCACTTTAGGAAGTTAAAGGGTTAATAATGAGTCTTACCACTGGATCAGAGACAATTATTTTGTGAGAGTAAAATCTGACAAAGAGCAAATCTTGGAAATGTCATGTTTACAATAATCACCTATGGTAACATTTTTTTTCTGTCATTTATAATTGAATCAAATTCACTTTATGGTTACATTCTCATACAGTATAGCTTCAGTGTACTTGTAATGATAATAATTTTTATACTTATAATAATAATAATAATTATAAAAGGAGTAACATCATTAATTGACTACTCACCTAATAGGACTTTTCAGGGCTAGTAAAAATAAAATGAAACAAATATTGCCAATGGACAAAGTGTTTAATGCTTAACACCCTAATATCAGTATGTATATTCTCCATACTGTTCTCTGTACCTTTCCTAAGGTGCTAAAAAGGGGGGATTTTTTAACAGTTAAGAGCCTTTTTAGACGGAAATCATTTCCTAATTATACATGTGACCCTAATTTGAGATTTAGGGGTGATACTCTATGTCTCTCTTAAGGTGCTGACAAGGAGGATTTTTTAACAACCAAGACCTTTTTTAGTGGGAAATTATTTCCTAAATATACTTGTGACCTTAATCTCAGATTCAGGGGTGATACTCTATAGCTCTCTGAAGATGCCGACAAAGATAATTTTTAACCATCAAGAGCTTTTTTAGTGGAAAATAATTTCCTAAATATACTTGTGACCTTAATTTCAGATTCAGGGGTGATACTCCATAGCTCTCTTAAGGTGCTGATAAAAAGAATTTTTTTAACAATCAAGAGCTTTTTCAGTTGGGAATCATTTCCTAAATATACTTGTGACCTCTGATAGTGATACTCTAAACCTCTCTTAAGGTGCTGACAAGGGGAATATTTTAACAATCAAGAGCTTTTTTTAGTGGGAAATCCTTTCCAGAATATACATGCAACCTTAATTTGAGATTCAGGGCTGATATTATAAGGAAAGTTAAAAGATTATCACTCTTAGGGGTGAAATGGTTACTAATTCAAACTTGCTGAAGGCAGACCAGTTGGTTATATACAGAGCAAAGACAAGAAGCTGAACTCAGGGCAACTGAGATCAGAATAAATCCCATGATCAACAGGGTGGAGGGCTTGGACCTGTGATGCCAGATCTCAAGCCTAGTGTTTCAACCACTTGGTCACACTGCCTCCACAACTTTTAATTTGTCAATGTGTAACTTTGCCTTTTAGAACAAAGAAACTTTCACAACCAGATAAGTCTGTGTGGTGTCCAAGACCGTATACAATCTTCAAACTGCTACTGTCAGCAAGATTCTGTTCGGCATTTCTGAGTAACATATCAGACTGTGATGAGACATTCAACTACTGGGAACCTGTGAGTAATAGTGAAGCTTTGTTCTTTGATCACTAGTATTAAACCTTAATAACTCCCAAGATCTGATTGTTAATTCTCCCCTGTATCTGACACACAATTCCATGTAAATAAGTTACGAGAATTTAGTGTTAGATCAAGATAACAACTTCTTCCTGATAAGTTTGAGTATTCTTATTACCTGGTGGCTGGCTAATGTAGGGATATTATTGGGGGAAGGTACAGGTTAATCACTTCAGGGAGTTAAAGGGTCAAATACAACATGTATGTATGAAGGGGGTAAGTTTCTAAAGAAACTGTGGTGCTGTGTGAATGGGGGGTGTAACAAGATTATTTGGTTTCATCAATAGGGTTAATAATGTAAATTAAAGCTAGTGTTCTAGGGATTAGGTCTTTAACAGAGTAAAAATCAAGGACAAAGGAGTAACACTTGATATGTCAGCTTTAGAAACTCTTTAAGGCAACCAATTCATGTCGTGAATTCAGTTGATTAAACCAAATTGTCTTGTATGTAATTCTATGTATTCTTTATTGATCACTCCCCAAATGGGGTTTTTCAGGGCCAATAAGAAGGAATCATTTTGAATAAATGTAGTGTTTGACCCTTTCACTCTCAAGATCTCATCAATAATTCTCCTTACTGTCTGCCATACAATTCGTATGATGTTAGTTCTGAGAATTTGGTATTGAGTCAACTAATAGTCCCCTAACTGATATTTTTCTTGATTCTCATCACTTTCCTGTTTGATATTGTATTGATTTGGTGAGGAGAAATTCTTTCTTGGTCACTCATGGGAGTTAAAGGGTTAAAAACCTCAGTCAGTTGGTTGGAGGCAGACAAGTGATGTGTAGCTTCATACAAAGCTACAAGCAAGGAGTTGAACTCAGGACAACTGAGACCAAATCCAGTGAGAAGCAGAGTGAAGGGCCTGAATTCAGGACCCCTAGATTACAAGCTCATTCTCTTTATTATGATATTTTTGAGCTTTTGATGTGGGACAAATTGTACAATTTTTCATAACTAATTTCAAACAAGGAAGGCACTGAGCTGTATCAGTGGGCAAATGAAACAACTGTTTGGTAGCTGGTATTAGCAACATGGTGATAAAGATTGTTGAATATATTGCTATAACAAATTTTGGAAAGGGGATTTTAGAGCATCAATTAAATATCAGATTTTCAAAATTTGTCTATGTCGTTTTCCTACCTATTTTATTTTCTAATTGATAACCAACCAGTGCTTTCAAACCACATTCATTTGCAAAATTCACAGACATATTTTACTCTTGCAAAGTGTTATTTATAATTGGTCCATGGGCTTGCTTCCATTTAAACCAATGAACTAAATAATGTTTTGAAATTAAGAGATCCTCGCAGCTAAGAACACTACTGAAACGAGTAGTTGTAAATAGGACCTGAAAAAAATTCAGGCCCATATGGGATTTGAACCCATGACCTCTGCAATACCGGTGCAGCGCTCTACCAATTGAGCTAACAAGCTCATTTGTTAGCTCATTTGTTTAGCTCATTGAGCTAACAAGCTTATTTGTAATAAAAGTAAGTATAGGGTATGTTGATGAAACATTCTCTAGTTGTGGCAGTTCTTGGTGTTTTTTCATAAAGTGATTTGTATACTCCAAAACGTATTTGCAATTCCACATTAACAATCAAATAGTACAGGATCGAAACATTAAACCAATCTTATCACCTGTGTTGAGAATCACATGAATCTGTCAATAATAGTCCAATTTACAGTTATGTGCTTGGTTGCTTTTAACAGGAGTGAGGCTAAGGGTGAACTAATTATGATACAAACCTTGCTGTTTTTCAAATGTAAATTTCATATGTTATCATGCTCTCTAAGATACTGGTCTCTTTCACAACAAGGTCAACTTCAGCCTCACTCCAAATCAAAGGCTTGGCAATTAAGTACACAACTGTAAAATGGCCTACTGTTACAGTCTTGCTTGTTTTACTAACATTCATCATTGATGGTTGTTTTAGATGCACTTTCTGATGTTTGGTTCTGGTTTTCAAACCTGGGAATATTCACCAAAGTACGCCATTAGGTCCTATGCTTATCTGTTGTTACACACTGTTCCTGGGAAACTACAGATCCAAGTGTTTGAAGCAAACAAGGTAAGTTTTCTTTCAGTGCAGCATTTTTGATATGCTTTTAAATGAGCCAGGAAAACTGTCAGTGACAGTGTTGGTACTTGAGGTTCAGGCATGTTGGAAGACTTCTCAGATTGAAAAAGAAAGACAGAAAAAGTGTTGTTCAGTGCATGAAAAAGCAACAATCACTGGCTGGGTTTTTTTGCTAGTGATAACTTGGTAAAGCATGACAGTTATGGTAATGTACTTCTGTGGTTAAGCACTTACAATTGTTTGATTTTTAAGCTACCTACCTTGAAATTTCAGCTGGCAGCTTAATTTCTTAACTTCAACCCTGGTGGTTTGGTTTTGTTCATTTTTTTTGTTATCTCTCTGTCTTTTTTTCCTTTTTTATTTTATTTTATTTTATTTTTTTCAACCAAATGCCATCCTACAACTACAAGCTTTTGTCACTGAAAGTTTTCACCACCAATTTGCACTGGAGCTTTTAAGACCTAAACCTCAAATTTTATGCTTTTCATTTGCAAAATTTTGACAGTAGGTCACCATGTCTCCCTCATCCTTAGAAAAATGTGGGGGATAGGAATATTTATTCACATGAAATTGTGTTTTCTTATCATTTCTTTACTGTTTAGCTGCTGGTGTTTTATTTTCTACGATTTGCTCTTTCAATATTCTGCGCAGCTTGTGAGACATATTTCTACAGGTATGAAACCATTTTAGATTCTGTTAACCCATTTACTCCCAAGATGTCATTAGTTATTCTCCTTAATGTCTGCCAGACAATTCCTATGCAGTTAGTTTGGATAATATGGTATTAGATCAACTAATAATCCCCTAATTTATATTTTTCTTTATTCCTATTATTTGTCTTCTTGATATTGTATTGATATTGTAAGGAGAAATTCTGTTTTGGTCACTTGTGGGAGTTAGAGGGTTAACACTCTTAACCTTTAACTCCCAAGATCTAGTTGTTAATTCTCCTCTCTGGCTGCTACATAGTTCCATGTAAACTAGTTATAAGACATGGTTGTTCAATCAGGATGAATACTTCTACTTGATAGGTTTGGATATTCTCATTAGCAGTTTCACAGGAACATTTTTGGAAATTATGGGGAGAAGTTACATTTTAATCACTTCTAGGAGTTAAGGGGTTGATAGTCATATCCTCAACTTGATTAGTTGATTGTATATTAAGCATTAAATTTTGCAGAGATGAGCAGTACATATTATATGGCACATGTTGTTGATGCAGCTGAAACCATGATTATCATAGTGATATTCTAAGAAATTTGTAGTCAAAGCAACAGGCATATTTGCATATCTTCCCAAATCACTATGATCCGTTTATTAAATTGCCTAGTGTGTCTAGGGCTCTATACATATACAATAGGCCAGGCTCCTTAAGCTTGTTGGCTTCTAGACTCATTGCAGTGCACATTAAGAAAGTGAAACAACCATCTGGAGTATAAGACATGAAAAAGTCAACATGAGCTTCTTGGATATAAACTTATGAACTCCATTAACTCTTCAATCCCTGAGAGGTACTTAAATTAAATTTCTCTTGGAGCTGGAGACTAGATTGAGTTGATAGTAATTGTGTATTAATGGTCCCTATTTGTTTTATGATTTCAGTGGAATAATAAAACAATTTGGGAATCATGTTGCAAGAATAGCTGTTGTTTTTATGATTTTTAGTACTGGGATGTTTATATCTGCAGCTGGTGAGTGTAAATGCTGTTACATATTTTTTATCCAAAATTTGGAAACCAGCCCCTTTTTTTAATCACAAGTTCAAATATAAATCAGTTTTAATTAAAGCATACATTTTAACCTCAACATTGCAGATTGATGGCAATAATTGAGATTTTCAATGGCATTGCAATCAATTGTGTGATGTTGCAGGCATCACCTTTTTTGGGGGAGTGTGGGTATGGCCGTGCATTGCTACCCAGAAAATTGTGTGAAAGGAAAGAAGCTAAGACAAGTATTCCTGTACTCTGAGTGTGTGTGGTCATTGGTCATTAATTGTACTGACTGGTGTAACTGTTGCTCTGGATGACAATTTCCATTGTTGAAAGTGTTTGAACGAGCTAAAAAAGGGAATAAGGAGTAAATTATATCTAGAAAGTTAACTAAGTTCATAAGTTCTTAACTGAAGCAGGAGTTTGCTGTCTCAAAATCAACAGTTTAAATCACATACCTGGAATGCATGAGAAATAATTACCTATAGTTTCAGGGTGAGAGCATAAGATGAATTTGTTTGCATGAGTCTTGCACTCAATGTGTAAGACTAAAGAGCTCTACCACTGATGCTGTAATTCTGGGTTAGTGCACTAGAATCAAATGTTAGTCTTTTGGATCTTGATCTGAACTGCTCCTTTACTACATGTAGTCCTAAGATAATTTTTTTTTTTGTTCCTCGAAGCATTCCTACCCAGTACGTTTGCTATGTACATGGTGATTTTATCTTATGGAGGATGGTTTTCAGGAAATTATGCAGTAAGTTATTTATCAGGATACACAATTTTTTTATGATAGTGTTTACAAATAATGTTTAGTTTGTTTTTTATAGCTACTGAATGTTTATCACTCAATAAGTGAATTATTGTTCAATCAGGTACTGTTTAGACTGAAATAAATATTTGTATAAGATATATGATTTTTAATAAGCCTCTTATTTAATCCATAAATCACTGATACTTCCCTCTCAACTGAAGTATGAATTTTTTGATGACTTTCTGCTATATTAAATTTCTTGGACTTTAGATGAGGATTTGTTTGAAATTATTTGTGATATAATAGCTATTTTACAGGACTATACTTTGAGGGAGGGAGGTAAAGATTTTAAACATGGCATCTGATTAGGCCCAAATTTAAATTCACTGTAATATTTGGTGCGTGAATTTTACAGAAAGGCAAGATGGGGTGAGATTTGAAGTGTACTGTTTTAAATTGCAATGCTTGAAATGCTGCTAAAATTACAGATGATGGGTGAATTTTTTCTAAAATTCATGTATTAAATGGAATCAGAACCTGCCTTTTCTACCCTTCAGAAGGAAGTGGGTTTAATGGTTGGTTTGGTTCATTGTTCTGCTCAGTGGTCATACCCAGACAAAATAAGGGTGTTTGATTCCATACTGCATGTATTGTTACAAAGATACACTAGTGAAAAAAATAAATAATTCATTTTGTGTATAGCAATGTAAGCTGTAGTTTGAAAGTATTACCAGGCTTTAAAAAATTTTGAGACAACATGACAAAGGTGCTAAAAATGTCTTGTTATACTGTAGTGCTTAATGTATTATCTCCATCATAGGTGGCTGTCTTAGCAACAGCAGCTGGTTCCCTGATTGGTTGGCCTTTTAGTGCAGTTCTTGGGTGGGTACTGATGCTCATGTAATGGTATTAAAATGCTTATTGACTGAGTTCAGTAGGGCAGGAAGGGGAAAACATTTGGCTCAAGGTTATGATGTACAGACAAAGAGCAACAAGGTCCATGCATTGTGACTAAGGGCCAAATATTTTCCTGTTCAGCTCAACCAAAATAAGCCAATAAATATATATGAATTTTGGTTTGAAATTTACAATTTCTCAATTTCATCGAAAAGAAATTCACTGCAAGTCTGAGTTTCCTTGGAACTATCAGTGATAAGTTCATATTAAAAGTGCACTGTTTTGATTCTATTGATTTGTTTTTTCTTGTATTGTTTCAGAGTTCCTATCGCATGGGACATCATAGTACGTCAAAGAAAAATAATGTATTTTATACAATTATGCCTTATATCACTTATAGTATTTCTGGTGAGTACCGCAAAGATATCTTATGCACATCTTTTCTGTTATGTTTATTTATTAAATGTGATCAAAATTCAGTGTTCAATATAGACTCTAGTTTTTCCCTTGAGCTCATGTACAGTGTATGTCAATGTACCTATGTATGTTCATTTTAAAAAATTTTATCACAAGTCAAAAATGTTGTAAAGCAAACCAATCAAAAGTTTCTGTAATTTAATAAAATGCTTTAATTAGCATATTTTAATATTTACTTTTCAATGTATTGCATTGTACAGACTTGCAATACATCAACTGTGTTAGTTTTGAGTATTTTGAATTGTATGAGTCATCACTTTATATCTCCTTCTCGCCAAATTTGATGTCTGTATTGTAAGTGATGGACCAAATTTTTTGCACCAGGATGGGTGCAAAAATGGCCCAAGTGCAAAGTGCTTGAGCCATAACTTGCATGTTCCATCACTTACAGTATTGACCAAAAAAACAAGGTTAGTAAAGATGTATATTATATCTATTGGTTCAAATAAGAGGCAGAACATTTTAATTCAAACAAACTTTTGAACTTAGCAGGCCGTACAGTTAAATATGCCCCACTAAATTGACCAATCATAGTGTATGTACTAATAGAGAGATATAATAAACTATGTTATGGTCTGCTCACGTGTCTGTGAGTTGTGTAGGTTGAAAAATGAGAGGGCTCTCATTTCTCATGCCAAACACTTTGTGGACCTTCTGCTGGCAAGCCAGTGGGGAGGGGGGAATGTTAACTCTTGGGAGAAGCTGGCCACAGCTGCAGATGCTCAAACGGGGGCCTTTTTGTATTGGATAACTATACTATAGTACAATGTGACATTTGATCGAAACTTTTAATATGATACCTGTAACTAATGTTTATTTCTTTATTTATTCTTCATTTAGGGACCATTAGTGTATATTGATTCCTTTTTCTATGGCAAAACCGTGATTGCCCCCCTAGGTATTGTGCTGTACAATGTATTTGGCAAAGGTGGCCCAAGCCTCTATGGTAAGGTTTGATGGATGGCATTGCGTGCAGAGTAAAAGTGCAATGATTTGTGTATCTTGAATGTGTCTGGAAGAGTATGGATGGGAAGAGAGTAATTTCTGTAATGTGTCTTGCTCACTGATTGGCAAAATTGAGTTATAATTGTAATTGTGGTTTTTCCTGAAATATATACATACATTGGAATGTGTATTTAGCAGCACTGTATTAGTTGTCATCTGGTATTAAGCAGTTGGTTTTCAAAATTTGGAAATTGTTACCCCTTCACCTTTTGCTGAGTCCCATTGGCCTGTTTGCATTGTTCTCCACTGGTATTGACTATCCATAAAACTAAGCATAATATTTGAAGTAAACTTAAATACATTTTTTTTTCTCTCTGAGCAAGTCTGTGTGCATTGAGTTGTCAATTATGACATAAAATAGTGATTTTTATCAATTTTTGTCATTTTTAACCCTTTAACTCCCAGATCAAATTTGTAATTCTCCTCACTGTCAACCATACAATTCTTATAATGTTAGTTCAGAGAATTTAGTATTGGACCAACAAATTATCCCCAAATTGATATTTTTCTTTATTCTTATCACTTATCTGGTTGATATTGTATTGATATTGTAAGGAGAAATTCTGTCTTGGTCACTCATGGGAGTTAAAGGGTTAACATACCCTACTCTGTGAGACCTGTATTAAGCGGTCTACCAGCCATTTCCTGTGGGTCATCTATCAATACATGTTCAACATAAATGGTTAAGTTTGTTAAAAGGAGCCAGGTAACAGTGCTTTAAATACTGTCTGCCTGGCAAAAATGTCGATACTTTACACCCTGAGATCAGTATGTATTTTCTCCACTCTGTGCTCTATGCGTGTCCTAAGGTGCAGACAAGGAGAATTTGTTGAACAGTCCAGAGCTTCTTTACCTTCCAGATCATTCCCTTAATTCTCATGACATTAATGTGTGATTCAGAGGCGATATTGTAGAGAGAAATTAGATGCTGGTCACTCTTAGGGGCCAAAGGGTTAATACAGAGTAGGAAATCTGCCGCGAATTTTCTTCACCTTGGGCTTAGTCTAAATTTACATGCGAATTTAGAAAGCTCTTATTTTCTTTTGTTACCTAAAAGCGCAAACATTTTCTCGGTCCGAGTAAAGAGAAAAGAGGGGAGAAGACAGTTTGTGTTAATATCACCCATAATTTACAAAACGAGAGGGAGAAAGAGAAAATTGTAGACTAACCTTTGCAAGGATGAATCTGCCTGTACATTTTCAGAAATATTTTTTGTTTAGAGAGATGACGTGGCATATGTTACTTTTATTTTACAGGCGTTGAGCCGTGGTCGTTTTACTTCTTAAATGGGTTTTTGAACTTCAACATTGTATTTCCTATGGCGCTGCTCGCTTTACCTGCCTGTGTAAGTACTTGAACGGTCAAAAAGACCTTATTGATAAGGTTGATAACTGCATACGTGAAAGCGTGAAATAAATTTTACTTGACATTTAATCATTTTGAAAGTTCATGCACGCTTTGTTCGACTGAGAAGGTTTGAACGAGCAACAATAATGCAGCTGTGATTGCAGCAAAACTTTTCCACAAGTCCGAGTCACAATTTTGGTGTCTGCTTGCCGCAAAATTTCCTGCAAATGGAAAAAGATTTCACCAACGTATGGTGTTATTTACCTTGAGTGGAATATCTAGCATTGCACAGGAAAGGTTGGATCAATGTTAGTACCTACCCCTGCCCTAACCCAACATGAACATTGTTGGGGTAGGGAATGGGTAAGGGTGCAGTTGTTAAGATACTGACATTGATCGAAAATGCTTTTTCCTTGGATCTTAGAGGTTTCTCAATCCGTCTCTAAAGATTAACAAACAGTAATTTTTTTTATTGTCGTTGGCAAAATCTGAGACCATGCCAGGGGAACATGAAAATGATACTGTCACGACCCTTGTGTGTTTTGATGCTCACATTAATTGTGTGTTAAACGTGATTTATTAACCAGATAATAATCTGTTTGACAGGTCTTTATTAAACTGGTGATGACTGGGAAATCGCAGGAAAAGAAATGTATATGAACAAAAGTTGTTTTTAAAATAAGATTTTAGATCATCGCTATATGACATAAACCATAATGATAGACTTCAGGGTATCATCATATGGTGCAAAAGTTATGCCCGAAACCAAGCTTTTGGCGACATCTCCGCGAATTTTCGAGGCGACTATTGTTTGGATCCGTCTGAACTTTCGCGTAATAATTCACTGGGGGTGTTAGTAAGTTCCGAAATTTAGAGAAAGTTTGCGCTTCTCAAAAGATTCGCGGGGAACATTTCAGTGATAACGTTTAATTTGTCAAGGGAAGCTACTTCGTAACGAAACATATGTAATTTCGCGCTGTGATTCCTGTCTCCGAGGAAACTGCAATCATAGCAACTTTGGTATTCCCATCGTCTCGGTGTTTTCTGTCTTATTTGAGTCCCTTTTTTGCAATGATTAACTGGAAAACTCTCCCTAACTTCTTATAACATTATGTTACTCTAAGTTACGAGAATTTAGTGATGCATCAGAACTGACGGATTTCCCTTCTTTTTTTAGTTCCGTCGTCAGTGTTACCAATTTGGCTTTCACTTATGGGGATGTACATTTGGATTCTAATTTTCTTCACAAGACCTCATAAGGTATTGGGACTAGATTACTCATTAATGTTTGGGAATATGTACTTGGTAAATAAAATTTGAATGAAAACAAAGCAATTTCATTCGGACTTCGTGCAATCCCTCCTTTTTGCAAAATCGACTGTGTAATGATGTGGTTCTTAATAGGAGATTTAGACATTTGTTCCTCTTTCCTTGTTAAATGTAACTAGTATTGGTAACTAATTCATAACAAAAAATGATGATTTAGATATGTCTGCGTTTTTGTCGTAATAGGAGGAAAGATTTCTGTTTCCAATCTATCCGTTCTTTTGTTTATTCGGAGCTGTAACGCTTACCAACTCACAGGTAAGTACATTAAAACTTTTTTTTCAAACTCATACTAAAGCGAAGGAAAAAAGTAACTTGTTCTCCAGCTAGCTTGCGGTCTAATTATTTTTGTCTGTTGAAATTTATATTTCCCTTTCCACGTGTAAAAGCTCCTTTCAGCATCAGTCACTACTGTGCTGAAAACAGTATTTATCTGTAAGCCACATCAGGAAAGGGTCAGGGAAACTCGTTTCTGAGTCTCCAAAGATGATACTTCGTTTCTATTTATTTTCTTTTCATTGGAAAGAACGCCTGCAAGAGGAGAAAAAACGCAACTAATTTCTCAAATTGTTTTACATATTCAGCCAGTGGAATGTGTTTTGTGGAATGTGTGTTGGTTAGGCCTTAAAAAAGGTCTGAGGTAACCATTTCAATGACGCAAGGCAGCGTCTTCGTCATGCATTTTTTTTGTATCTTTTACAGAAATTATTCCATGGGCTTTTCTTTAGCGGAAGCAGACATCATTACTCGGCTTCTTCCACATGGTTTGCAGTCTCTGCTTGTGTAGTGTTCTCAGTTTTGTCTTTGTCAAGATCAAGTGCTCTTTATTATGGTGAGATCTCCTTCACTGACACAGTGTAATTACAAAGTGCTAATGGGCCAGTGTCGGAGGAACGAGTTGTTGAATTGTTGTGTGACACTGGAAGAAGGCTTCGGACAATCTAAGATCCCTCTCTATATCCATGAAATGACTGTCATCTACAGCTGTTCTTGGAAAAGTTGTCGGAAGAAAGCATAAAAGTTCACGCAACAACACCGAAAGGTTTTGTGGGTAGTTTTTAGGTCACGGCTCCAAGGCAATGCTAATTAAGAGAAAGGTCGGACGAGGCATCGTAGGTTTGATGAATTTATTGGTTACTGACAACCCAGATCACCTTTCGAGATTGTCGTGTGCAATTATGTTCTCTTTTCCAACGAACTTTCTCGATTTATCGCCGTCTCCTAATAACCGCCATGTGGGAAACCAAAAATATTACCAAAAGCCGTCTTCGAATGTATAGTTGTTATTCGGCGAGAGTAACTACAACATCAAAAGCTTATGCGGCACAACATTTTATAAAACAGCATCAGAGACCTATTATATTCTGAAACAGATTGAAGCTTTGGGTTTGAAATGGCTTTACTTTTTTACTCTTCAATAATATCTTGAACTTATATCACCAAGGTGACAGTGAAATGTTATCTTTGCAGGCATAAAGCAAATCATTGTATTGAAAAAAAAACCCTATTTTTCATGCCAAATCCAGGCAGTGAATCATAATGTTTAGAAGTATTTGCAAGGATTTAGAAATAAATTTTCCTACAGTTGAGTCGCAAAAATGCATATATGTAGTTACATGGGATCGTTCTTCGAAAAATTCCAGACAGATACCGTATCTGAAGATTGTTCACTCTCCTTCTGGTTGTCTAGGTTACCACGCACCGATGGACCTGTTTATTGAGTTGAACCATATGTCGTCTAAACTTGAGGAGCCCCTTCCTCAGGGCAAACAAATAAACCTGTGTGTTGGAAAGGAGTGGTACAGATTTCCCAGCAGCTTTTTTTTACCCTCGGAAAGGTAATTGTTGTTATTATGGGAGCTACTTCAAGTAGTCCAATTTTGCTCACAGTTAAATGAAATAAAGAAAATTCTGATGTGAGAAATTGTTGAAAGAATGCTTGGAACTCAGAAACACCACAATACAAGTTTGGGTCTTCCGCCATCTGATGTACGGAGCCGCATGATGGGAACAAGGCTAATTTTGGTGGGCTCTCTGTAGCTTTACATGCGGATGATAAGCTGCAATAAATGAATCAGCAGAAAGAACACCACAAGGAATGCGATCTGACATCCCTGACTAAAAGGGGAAAAAGTTAGTGAAGTACTTCGCCCAATCCTCACCCGGAGGGTTTTTCTAGAGCCCGACTACTTTGAGATCTGTCAGCTTTGGCCCGTCACTCTGAGACTAAAGCGAAAGGAATTATTTCTTTTATGATAAAATTCACATCCGTTTTATTTTGTCCTCGTCATAGATGGCATCTACAGTTTATTCGTTCCGAGTTTCGAGGTCAGTTACCAAAGCCTTATGCTGACGGACGCAACGCTACAAAAATTATACCAACCCATATGAATGACATGAATGAAGAGGAGCCTTCAAGATATGTAAGTATGTAGACACTAGGGCCCAGTTGTTCGTTATTCGTCGCTCAGTTCTTCCTGGCCCAAAATTTTTTCATCGTGGAGAGAGTTGCCACGCAAAGTCCATCTAGCTTGAATTACCTTGTATTGTGGACCTCTTAAAGTCGATAGATTCGCGTGGATCAGTGCCTGTAACGCGATGCACAACGTCTCAATAGTTGAACTTTTGTGAAAATATTTTTTCCCGCGATAGAATTTTGTCCTTGAAAAAATTCGCGTTATTTCAAACTGTTTTGTACTCGTGCTGCGATCACTGCGCTAAAATGGGTTGAAGCGACTTGTTTTGTAAGAAACACAGAAGGTTGTTCGACACAGAGACCTGTGGCAGCAACATGTTAAAAATCCTGGTGTGCCCAGGCCCTTCACTCTTTTTTTGCTTTTTTGCAGATGTCCATCTCAAAATGTGACTTCCTCGTGGATTTAGAAACAGAAAGGGAAACTGAACTTGAACCAAACTTTGTGAAACGAACCAAGGACTGGGAAGTGGTGCTTCAGAAGCCATTTCTGGATGCAGAAAGGTAGGTAATTGTTCAGTCGTACTAAAAAAGAAAAGTAAAAAACGTCTATTTGCGTTGTCAGATCTCGAACTTCGATAAGCCTGTTATTTGAGGTTGATTAAAAACATAAGTTGTTTGACGTTTTGACATGCGTTAACCGCTTGCAGTATCAACAGAGTCTGCGCCTTGGCCAACAGAGAGTCTATTAGTATCCTTTAATTTGATTCACGTGGTTGAGAAAACAACTACTTATAGCAACTTGGATCAAGGGTTTCCTTGCTTATTTTGCAATTTACTTCTTTCGCCTTTCTCAGTGTGATCATTTGTGAAATGTTGTTTTTATTTGAAAATTTGATTGTCGCTCCTCTCGTGTTAGAGGTCTGATAGTCTAAAACTTTTCGGACCCAAAATGCAAATCGGATCATGTTAACCTACAAAGGTGGGCGAAGTTTCATCTAAGTGGTTGTCCTAACTTGCAGCTCCACGGTTTCGCAGTTAACTGACAGTTTGTAATTCATAGCTTCACATACCTGAATATATTGTCGATGGTATCTTTGGATGAATGGAGACTTTTTACCATGCTACTTAGTGTTGTAGCCTTCTGTGACTTCTTGACATTTTCAAAAAATTTCCTGCACTCTGATAATGTTTACCTGTTTATATTGAAAATTGCTGAAAGTCAAAAGAGAGAAACCTGGCCCCGGTTGTTTGAAGGGTTGACAAAGCCATTTATTAGATAGATCTCTATCCGGTGGGTAGTGCATGACGTTTTTTTAACACTTACCCAGTGGATAGTGATTCATCCATTGGATTGTGTGATTTGCCTTTTGAACAACTGAGCCCTGATTAAATATTTTCCTAGTAAGCTTAAGCAGACCAGCTCCTGCCAAAACTTTTTCTCTCTGCATGACCAAAGGTCTCCTCGGTAGAACAAGTTTCCTTGTCTCACACGACTCTGTTCTTTCTTTTCGCAGATCTCACCGACTTTTCAGAGCATTTTATATTCCCTTTGTCTCCTACCGCTTCACAAAATATTCAAACTACGTTTTGCTGAGATCACTACGAAAGACCAGTGCGAAGCCAAAGAAAGGAAGAGATAGAAAACCTGTTGTCAAGGAAGAAGATGCAACAGTTTAACTAGCACAGTATTTAGGAAGAGACATAGCTATTGCCTTGTTTTCAAATACAAGACATTTTTCAACTAATATCGTCATCACAGTTTCGTCTTCTGCCCTTACGTTTACCGGAAAGGAGTGGTCGTTTAGTTTCGTGTCGTATTGTTTTCCTTTCGGGTATCTTCAGACAAGATCATTTCGCGACGAACCTTCCTGAACATGCTAATGAACTTACGGCAGGCACGTTTTTCATTAGGCCATTTCCGAGAGACCCGAAGACTCCCTTTCAAAACGAGGATATATGATAAAACTGATCTTGAAATGATCTGCTTTTCTCATGCAGTTAAAATGACGCGTCGCGAGTAAAATCTTGTTTTTGGCCTCAATCTTTGAGGATAAAGGAGCTTAACAATGGTCTTTTGTTTGGTCAGGGATGTTACATAAGTTAAAGTTGAGCGCGCTGTTCTCGGAGATTACAAATATCTTATCAGATAAGATGACCGTTCATGTATATTCACATCAGACTGATTGAAGTTGAAATAAACGAGAGAGCCACGCTGTGAGGTTAATGAAGGAGTGAAGATGTTGAAATCAGACTCGATACTTAAGAACAGTAGTTTCCTAGCAAGTTACCAGTTGGACGTAATTCGGCCCGATCACTCGCTGCACAGTGTGGTAAGGCTTGGGCTATTGATGTGAAAACTAGAACAGTCTTAACAACCCTTGCGGCTTTATGTCCTCTCTCCCAAGATCTTATCGTTGACTGAAATAGGTATCTTTCGCGCTCTTACTTCAACCCACCGCACTGCTTTGTCTATCCGAGAAAATTACTGTTCGAACGTTCCTCTCAGCTAGAAATTTAGGACAACTTGACGATGTGTTGGCTTAGTTCGTGACGTTACGGGAGACTTCTCTCCTGCCTGATTGCCTCCATTTCGGCGATTATAAAGAAAATGACAGACTTGTGTTTTGTACCATTTTTATTATTTAGTGATAATGTTAATTTTTTCGTTTCTAGTCACGGGCATATGCCTCGATCAGGACACTTCTTATATTTCTTCTTAATCACCCACAATACCGTCACAGCAGACTTGCAAAACGTAAAACAATAAGAAAAACAATCAAGCATACAAAACAAAACAAATAATAGTATTTCAACACACTGGGAAATTCTGACACTAATCGTTGGCACAAGCTTTGTAAGAAAAAAATTACGGATGATTTGCAACGACGCAAGGAGCGCGCGCAACAAAGTTGATAGTTAGGGAAGGTACGTTTTTTCTTGGGGGGGGAGGGCTGGGGAATTTTGGTATTTTTTTCCAAAAGAAAGTGTTGGCCCTCCCTCATGTTTTGATTAAAAAACTCCTGACCCCCCCCACTTTTAGGTGACTGACAAAAGTGTGACCCTCCCCTCACTACCACATGGTATGCTCTATGCCATGGAAACCTCAGAACATTTTTCGACATTTTGCTTGTAAACGCAAAATGTTTGAATATGAATAAATCTCGATATTGAATATGTGCGCGCTGAAACAAGAAAATTCGCAGTAAGATTTTGACTTCAATTGTGCAGGAAAAACAGACAAACATTCCGCTAGCCTCTGACTCAAATCCAGAGTTATTTTATATAGAAATATCGATTATTTATGTATGGACAGATTATTTCACATTTGAAAACATTTCTATTGTCTTAAAGCTGCGCTTACGGAGTCGATTAGGTAGCCATTTGCAATCTGTGTGTTTGGACAGATTATTTTACATTTAAAAACATTTCTATTGTCTTAAAGCCGCGCTTACGGAGGCGATTAGGAAGAAAGGTTATGACTTTTCAAACTACTTTCTGGTTTTAGTTTGTCTAAGAATCATTATTCATTCGCCGGAATCGACTTGGTATATCACAAGATCTTGTCTGTGTTTACACCTAACTTATTTCAAAAGTATTTGTGAAAGACAACTTCGTATTCAATTAAAATGTTTATAACGTAACACAATAGGCCTCTTCGCTACGTTGTTCAAACCATATACTTCAAGATATATCAAAGCTCTTAACATATAATTTATTTTTCTCTCACCAGTTTTTAATAGAAAGTGTTGTGTATGTTAAGACTTGTATGAAGTTTCTTTGCGAAAATAATTTGAACTTATGAAATTAGCTATATTTTAAGCTGGCGCAGAGCCAGTTCCAAAGTACGCATTGCAGACCTGTTCATAGGCGCTTGTTCTGCGCTTTTCGATCATAACTACTAGTTACAGCTACTTGAATTCTAGCGCGTACACCATTCAAACTCGATCACGTGCTCCGTGATGTTCAACTGACACTCTTCCTTACCTATCCCATAATACACCTTGGTGTTCTTACACTGAATGGTTATTTCACGAAGGCTGACAGCGTATCCCTTGCTTATCAAATCAGCCAGGGTCATATCCACAAAAGCTTTCATCTCAGCATCTTTTAAGGGACAAACCACAGGTTCCGTTTCTTTCACGCGACGTTGCACATTTTCAAACGTGTCGTGAATTTGCGCTGATCCCCGTTTAGCGGGTTTGCAAACGATCAGGTTGTGCGCATGCGGACCAACACAGTCTCCGCATTCCATAATCTTTTTATGATCCTCTTGCGACAGCAGGCTCACTTTGCTTGTGGACGTCAAATTTTGAAGACTCTTGTTTTGTGCGCAAGTGATAATCTGTTGTTGCCACTTTTCAAAATCACTTCCCAGCTTATATTTCCTTGCCTCTTCCAATTTGTGCGCAAAGACGTTTGAGAAACGTTCTAGAGTGTCGATCAAGCCTTCTATTTGGTAGAATTGCGCTTCTCTGTAAACCTTTGAAGACAATTGCATAAGAAATGAAGAATTGACTTTAAGAACCCTTTGAATGACTAAGCGCCATACTGCGCAGGATAGAAGTCAGGAACTCCTTTCTGCTACAACCTTTTGCCAAGTTCCAATGAAACACTCCATATTTTTTTGGCTGCATGTCCAATTATCTGTCACCAGATAGGTAGGAGAGGGGCGGGGGGCGGATAATCAATCGTTTATTGAGCGCGACGTTTCGACTGCTACACCGCTAGTCTTCTTCAAATATGAATAAGGTCACTTCTTTTGGATGTTGAAGGTGTACACATTTCCTCTACAGCAAGTCTTTTAATTTGTGATTTTTTGTCTTCGTGCCATGTGAGGAACTATTCCAACATATTAGATACCCAACGTGTCTTTGCGTTTTATTTATCTGGTCGTTTAAATGAAAACTATCAAAGGATAATTTGGCCATCGCTTACCTCGAGAGCTCTTTCAGCAGATGGTAGCTGTGTACTATCTCGAAGATAATTCAGGATTTCTTTGAAGTAAGTTCCATCCCGATCAATGAAATATCTCCCTTCACTGTCTGTGTCCAGTTCATGCCGGCCACTAAACATGGCGGCTAACATAGAGTCCTTATCCTTGGTCAATGTGGATAGAGTAGTTACAAAGTGGCATCCACCAACATTAAGCGGTATCACCCGGGGTAACTGAGACTGTGTGAATGGAAAGAAGCACACGGAAAAAATTAGCTGGAGTAAAAGAGAAACCGTGGGGTTTCGTAAGAGTTCCTTATTAATTGTCATTTAGCAGTTTTTTAATTCAAGTCGTCGTTCCTTGTGGAAATTATTTAATAAACTCGAAACCTGCATCTCGTGGGGCCTCACGGCCTTTTCTGGCCCTAATCACGGGAATTTTCCCCGCACGGGGCCCTAGACCTCTCCCGATTGTGCTCGTAAATGTTGGAAAGTTGCTCACTGGAATGCCAAAGAGTTCCCAAAAAATTGCCAAAACTCCGAAAATTTGCTACCCAAATTTCAATAGTTGCTACCTAAATTTCTTGATATATTTAAATAAACGTTGATTAAAAAAAATACTCCCCGTTCTTCACAATATTTTCCGACATTGATCAGCTTGGCCTTAAAGAGTTGCTCGCAAATATGTGCTGAATTTTAGGTATTCTTTGATGGAACGCAATAGGTCTGTGAAACGTTGTCGAGTGACGGGTCAAAAGATTAATTAATTGCAGTCATCAGTAATCCGTGCCACCATTAAAAAGAGTTTTCAAAGTCCTAATCATTTCCGGAAATTTTCAAAAATCTCTCCGGATGTCACAAATATTTTTATTAGAGATGAGAGAAGCTGAACATTTTCTTTGACTGGAGACTAGGCATCACGCGATTAATTTCTATTCAAATTCATTAAACTTTTGAAAGGTTAGAGACACGAAATATCATAATAGTATAGATATACCAAAAATTCAAACAGATTATTTGAAGGGGACTCCGACACAGCCATTCTTCAAGGTGTCACGCTTCTAGCGGCAATTTCACGCAACGCTCTCCCCAAACGCGTCTATTGGGGTAAGTGCGTGACATCCCAAAGAACGGTTGCAGACTATGAAGGTGATTGATTCAAAAGCCAGAACAAGGTGAATTAACACCCCAAAAAATCGTATAGACCGAAATACTGTGATGGATAGAGATTGCAAAAGCTGGCGTGTCATCTTAAGAACCTACTCCGAAGACAACCCTATTTCGGTATCCGACACTATCAATTTTAATCGCGAGGTCAATGGGCTAAGTATGCCCACGATAAGTCGAAAATGGAGTCGTACTCGATGCTTGCTTTCCAAAGATATCAGTCTTTACCTGTACCGCGTTGCAATTTTTCCTCAAATTTCTAATCAAGTGTTGTAAATCCGGGTTTGAATCCTGGATCCTTGCGCCCTCGCAGAAACTCAGGTAGGAAGTATTACCCCCAACAGACATTTTCATGGGAAATTAAATGCGTAGTAACCTGAATGTCCTTGTAAACTTACCGAGATTGTGCGTACTGCTTCACTGTGTCCAACCATAGCTAAAAGTCTTGTCTTTGAGAACGCTATTGCTCACATGATTTGTTTGCAACAATACATCGATTAAGCAACGACTTGCGCAAGCTGCAAAGATAAATACGAGAGAGAGGTGTTGAAAAGTTTCACAACTGTACTGGGTAAGAAGGGATTTCTATTTTTATTTTTTTGTACACGATGGCTTCTTAAATAAAATATGAATTTAACGGTTTATGTGCTTTCTATCGCTATGAAAGCCAAAGATCGGTTAAATATGACTATGTAGTTAGCTCAAGTTTTTATAAAGGTCCTGATAGTCGTGAACGGTCTTTTTGTCTATAAATGGCAATGTCGTTCGATATTTAAACAGGGTTATCAATTTTATTTCCTATGGGAAAGTCAACGTAAGCTTGTCCATATCTAGATAAACAGATTAAATTGAGCTCTTTTGCTGCACGTAACCTGTACTAAGAAGAAGCTTATTGAAATATCTGAGTTTTATTTTTTGTCGCTTGCACCTTAAATATGATCACTATCAAAACATTCACTTCCTTAATTAACGTTTAACCCGTATGCCTGCTCAGACTCAAAAAGTCGATGATTTCATTCGCTCTGTTTTGATATCGCGTAATGAGAACAACAGACGCTTGTGACACCTGAGAATCTTCAACCGTCAACAGATTCAAACGCTTAACCTAGAAAGACCTCTCGTATCAGTTTCTTTTTATCATAGCTTGCGTAACTGACAGTTTTGTGTGTGCTGAGGAAAGAGTTATGAAGCTGCGAGCGTTGAAAGGTAAATGTTACTTCCAGACCCAAGCCACTTGTGGCCTCGCTCTAGCGCTCACAAAACCGCAAGCAACGTAGCGAGTAAATAATAATTATTAGTGCTGGTGCAGTTCCGTGTATTTTTTCAGTAAGATTCTTTCGTATAAGATTATAAACTGGTATTATTTTTTTTTCAGTGAGCTTTTGGCTGAAATTTGCAAAACTAGTGTCACAAACCCCTGTTGGGAAACATCAATAACATATTACATTGCATTGTATTTTTGAGTCGAAATGTGTCGTAACACAGTTTTAGATATGATCTCACCTTAACAGAAAGCTTAAATGAAGTCAGCTGGTCCTCAACCATCAAAAAGGCTTAAAATCTTTATACTTAACAGTTTAAAAATATTCCATTTTTTTATTTTCAACCGTCAATAAAGCTAACTGATATTAGTCGTTTAATCTCTAAGATATTCCTCAGTGACTAGCATCTAATTTCTCCTCACAATATCACTACTGTATCACACATTAAGGTCACGAGATTTAAAAGAAATGATCACCAGCTAAAAAAGCTCTTTAGTATTAAACAAATTCTCCTTTTCAGCACCACAGGATTTGTACAGAGAACAGTATGGAGAATATTCATAATGATGTTAGGGTGTTAAGGGCTAAGCACTGAAGATGGTATCAAGGTGTGTTGTATATAAACAATCGGCTCAGATATTTGGTTCTGTAAAAGCCTTTTTATTCACCTTTGTTCAGTCAGTTTCTATCATCAATATTCATGGCGACTTCCCTCTGGAAACACTTCGAGTGTCGTGCGTATTATCGATAAGACATCTATCGCTGAATACTGTACCTCTTTACTTTTTATTTGTTCAGATTTGTGAGGAAAGGTTAACAGGTGAGCAGCATTTTCAACCTTAAAATTGTCAAAACTATTTCGACAATCTGTATAAAGGGAAACAGTCGGAATAGTTTTGTGGAAATATTTTGCCAAGTGCGGCTATCAATGAGAGGCTCATTATGGTTAACCGATCGCTTAAAAACGGCCAAACTAAAAAGCCGTTAGGTGTAAAAATTGACGAATTTTAAGTCGTAAAAAAAGTTAACCGTAAAGAACATTTCTAGTGACCAAAATGGAAATGTATTAACTGCTATAACTCTGATTTTTTCCCTGTAAATTAAATTTGACTTTAACAACCCGCTTTTTTCTTGAGGATTTTCTTTAGGTTGTCTTAAAAACAGAAGCGAAAAAACTTACGTAAAACTTTATGTACCTAGATTGGTCATGAAAATTTAGCATAGCTTGTTCAATCAAAGAATTTTGTAGCTGAAAAGTACATGCAGAAGTGATTCCATTGTGTTGAATGAGTAAAGTGAGCGTTCTTCGCTAGCATCGTTTCGGACGCTCTTAGGTGTCTGGGAAACCACGACACCTAAATTTCAACGTTATCTTGATTTATCCGCTCGCTTCACTTAAATATCCATAGTCTCCTGACACGCCTCCATTAAGGTCTTAGAGGGGAATTCCAGTAAACGTATTTAAATAAAGCAATCAATTTTTCAGTCTCACACCACAAAGAATTCTGTGGAACAAGCTGTATTTCTTTTTTTGCGTATCAGGCGAGCGAAAGTTAATGCGAGTCGAGCGCGAGGAGCAAGTCGTGGATGAGGTTGTCACGCCTTTCGCGTTTCCGTCGTGCTTGTCTAAAACACGCACAAACGACGCCTTTTCTATAGACTACTCCTAAGTGGAGGGGGACTGGAGAGTAGGAGCTCAAAACAATAAAGGATAGGAGGAGCCTGGGAATGCGTACGGGGGTAGGAACTTCTTGATATGGAGGAGGGGGAAGAACATAAAATGGGGAACATCCCCCACCCCCACCCCCACCCCCACGGGGCTCGTGAACGCTAGTCAAGGTAGCCTATTTACCATTCAAACTCGACCACATGTTCCGTGACGTTGAATCGACACTCCTCTTTCCCTATCCCATAATGCAGCTTGACATTCTTGCAGCGGATTTTTTCCTCACGAAAGCTAACGCAGTAGCCATTATTTTTCAAGTCGGCCTCGGTGATGCTTATGAACATTTTCATATCTGCGTTCGATAGAATACAAACAACAAGGTCAGTTTCCCTGAACCGTCGCTGTACGTAATCGAATGTCTCCTGGTGATGAACGACTCCTTGTGTAGCAGGTTTGGATACTACCAGATTGTGCGCATGCGGACCAATGCAGTCTCCGCATTCCATAACCTTTTTATGATCCTCTTGCGACAGCAGGCTCACTTTGCTTGTTGACGTCAAGTTTTGAAGACTCTTGTTTTGTGCGCAAGTGATGATCTGTTGTTGCCACTTTTCAAAATCGCTTCCCAGCTTAGATTTCTTTGCCTCTTCTAGTTTATGTGCAAAGACGTTTGAGAAACGATCTAGAGTGTCGATCAGGCCTTGTATTTGGTAGAATTGCGCTTCTTTGTAAACCTGCAATAATGAAATACTCATTTAGCCTTTAAGGAGCACGCTGAATTTTCAACACTTCAATTCCGTTCGCCTTCAGTTATGGTGAAATGTGGAGGCCGTTACCCTTTTTCAGCTGAATGGGAATACACCATAAGAGATTCGACATTGTCATGGCTTTAGTAATAATAATAATAATAATAATAATAATAATATTAATGATAAGAATTGGAAGCATGTAAACAAGGTCTCTATGCTCTTATAATTCCAGAAAAATACTTATAAAACTGGAAACGACTGTCGTCAGTCGAAACCTTAAGAAAGATATATCTTCCTTGCCTGAAGGCTCAAGATGACTGTAAAGTTCTTACCTCGAGAGCTCTGTCAGCGTTTGGCAGCTGCGTACTGTCTCGAAGATAATTCAGGATTTCTTTGAAGTACGTTCCATCCCGGTCGATAAAATATCTCCCTTCACTGTCCGTGTCCAGTTCATGCCGGCCGCTGAACATGGCGGCTAACATAGAGTCTTTATCCTTGGTCAATGTAGACAACTTAGTCTCAAAATAGTATCCACCAACATTGATTGCTATGACGCGGGGTAGAGACTGCGCCTGAAAGAAAGGAGACTGTACATATCTGATTGAAGAAATAGGAAAAAAAAATATGTCTCACTTCATAGCCCATCCCTCCACCGGAGGGGGGTGAGCTACAAATTTGGCCTTAATAGTTAAACGCAGAGAAAGAAGCCACAGGTTTTGAATCTTAAACGAAACTAAATGAATCGTAAACGAAACTACCAGCTTCATAGCCTTCCGCCTTCACAGACTGTGCAGAGCTCAGAAATACTGATTTAGGTAAGTAGCATATTATAAATGTGAAGGCTGAAAAGACCGATTACTCCGGCTCGTTAGAACTGCTTAAATTATAACCTGCACTAAGTGGACACATTGTTATAGGCGTACACTAACAAGGTACGCAAGGGCTTCCACTAAATACGGGTTTCTTCTGTTCTCAAACACAAGTATCGACTCCGATTAAAATCATGCAATCAGTGCTCGATTGATATACGGACTTTTAAGATTGGTGGTTTGGCTTGCCGCTTACATAGACGTATGTTTTTTTTTCTTTTTTTTTTTCTTTTCAAGCTTGAATGCCTCCCTCGCATAAGCCCCGTGGTTTCTGGAGGCTCCCTTGCCATCTATTACAATACTGTTTTTAATAAGTTTTGTAAAATTACTAATTTTGTGCTGTAAACGTCCTTTCTCTTATGAATGGCGAATTGAATTTGTATTGTGTTGTTCAGCTAAAGTGGCTCGAAACAGTTTAACTCGTTTTCCTTGACTGATAGTAACTTTTACTCGTATTTGTTAGTTTCATTGAAAATGGTTTCAAAACATCGTCAATTATTTCTCAACCCGTTGAGAACCTCTTTTGAGTCATAAGGCTACCATAGGAACAATGTAGTTTCGTAGAAAACTCGTAATTTTTAGTGGTATGCTCCTGTAACTCAAGAACGAGCTCGGTGACCTTAATTTTTCATTATTGAATTGGAATCGGCATATCAAGATTGATCTTTTTCGAAAATTTTTAAAGGGACAAGCTCTTTTCAAGGTGTTTCTGAACTGTACTTATCTTACACCGTTTTCAAGGGAACAAACGGAAAAGAGTGTTAGTTTTGTTGACAGCATAAAGAACAGGTCTCCTAAAGTAACAGGTTGCTTAAACATAGGAGGAGTTGCAAAACTTACTAAATTTGTGTGCTCCTGTTCATTGCGTCCAACCATGCTGGAGTTGCACTTTGAAAGAGATATTCCTTGCATTGAGGTTCAAAAGTCCTAAAGCTTCGTATAGTAAAGCGACGCTTGCTTAAGCTGGAAAATATATTAACAACAAAAGGTGTTAAAATGTCAGCCGGCTCGATTCGGTTGGAATACTTCGCTCATAATGTTTTTCTATGTATTATCTAATACTATGTGACGTGAATAGGATAAAAAACCTTTTCGAAAGTTATTTCTTGTAGATTTGAAAAGTTGTAATCTCTAATTAGAGACCAGTCGTAAAGTCGTAATCGCCCGAGGAGGAGGTGGAGGATTGTGTTTGTGTGTGTGGGGGGGGGGGGAGGGTTGTGGGGATCACGGAGGGGGAAATCAGTTGTCGCCAACAAAGAATAGAGGGGTAATGAAGGTGGGGGTGTTGTTCATAAGAATATCAAAGGGCCTTGTAGGGGATCAGATAATTTTTATCGTGACACAATCAAAATCCTTTTAATACCCCCCCCCCCCCCTCTTAAGTGTTAGTTTTAAAACCTGGCTTGTTCGTTGGACTATTTTCATCTCATGAAGGCTTCAGTTGCCTTGAAAATTTGAAGGATTGAGGGCTGCAAAAACCCGCGAAAATTTTACCAGCAAAGTAGAATGATGAAGATTCATTCATGGGTTTCGAAAGCTAAAAATAACAACCTGTAAGCGAGCAGGCTATCAATGACGGTGCAGTACATGCTGTGAAGCCGAGTGAAAGGGGCTGGGGAGGAGCATAGAGTCAAGGTGTACATCGTTACGAGCCGGCTTGGCTCGTCGGCTTGTCGTCATGGTGACAGATGTGGGGATTGTCCCGTTTCTATACTGCCTAAGGCAAAGTTTGTTTAATGCTGTAGTGTTAGGGATTTATAGCAATATTCTCTTAGGATTAGGACCACTGCGGAAGCAATTCCTAGCGACTTACATCAAGGATTTATTTTTGGGGAAGATGTTGAGATCGAATAAAAGCCGAAAATGAATGAATCATGGAAAACCTGTTTGCATCATCCGGATGACGTAATATACGTAATAGAAAATTGATTTGTTTTAAAAACAAACAGTAGAACTTGCAGGTTTTCTGTCTTAAAAAAAGGTGCGAACTCATATTACCAGCATCACACATGCAACGAATGTGAAGTTGGCCTTTTTTCCATTTCCGGTCTTCTAGAGGCACCAATGTTGATAAATACGAGTTCAAATGATTTATTTTTAATTTTCCAAGACTAAACTCTTGGTTTGAATAATTGTACAGCTTACTAAACGAATCTGGCGGTAAAAATAGCGAGAAATCATTAAATGAAAATGGAAACTTTCTTTGTAGAAGAATTGATCAAAACCAAATGATGTAAAACAAAATTACCTTTCTTGTTTGAATTCATCAGTGGCCATCGTCTGCGCAAAATGTAAATTTCCGTCGATCCTCGAAGTATCCTAGTCTTGCTATATATTTCTTATCCGCCAGATATAATTTTTTTTTTCAATCTTGTGTGATCGAAAATGTTATCCTGATACATTTAGCATATGTATTTATATATATATATTTTTGGATATTTCTCTACCTGGTGGTTTTAATCGGAGGGCTTTGGCCGTATGTAAACAAGCTTCCACAGGATCTAGTTTCAAATATTATTCAACATCTGGGGAAAACGTTTGATAAAAGAAATCTTACCCATGCTAATTTGCTAGTCTTCTGAAAAATTTGGATCACACCAAAAACCTTTTTGTGTTTAATCTCATAGATTTATCGTTAATCTACGACGTCTCCTGAAAATTCTGTTGATATATGCGGGATCAATTCACATCAAAATTAACGACAGTAAAAATTCATTATTACCTCGGTAACCCTGGTTTTTCCTCGCTGAAAAATCGATTTTTATCACCCTCATCCGCTCGTAGATTCTAAAATATACCTTTTTTTTTCCTCTGCCACTTCTCTCCTTTTCTAGTAATTCAGTTGGACTTTACAATATATCTAGTTTACACACAGGAGTACTCGCGTCGTATCAGTGGCTTTCTCATTGTCTTTTTTGACAACACCTGCTGATACCGTGTGGGACTAATGACTAGCCCAGGCCTCTCTCCGATTTATACAAGTTATAGAGAATTTCTCTTACACGGGAAATAAACTCGGGCTCTATCAAAGAAGCTCAAACAAGCCTTTAATTTTTTTCATTGAGAAGGTGTTAGACCATAAAGTTATGAAAATCGCCAGGATCATAACGATCTGAAGCGTAGGCGATGAGTAGTTTTCATATGAACATTGTAACCGCGGATTTCTTTTTTACTATTTTCAGTGTGATTACGGCAATTCAATGATATTATCAATCTGTTTCTGGTTAAACAAGAATGCTCTTCGGGTGCTTCGTTTGAAAAGTCTCGATCCATCGAGCCTTACGCTAACTCGAGCCCAAATCGATTTTTTCCATAGATTTCCTCAATACTGCATTCAATGAAATTTTATCTTCGGCAACTCGAACCATTCACAGTTTCAACTCGCGCTCTCTATTGCCATTTCCTCTCAGGTCATTTCTTTCACAATTTATCCTTGATATCTCAAACAAGGTTTGAAAACTTGCGGCAAATCCAAAGAAAAAAACTGTTCTGTGATACCGTATTCTCCGTAATTTCAATCTGTGCCACAGATTGAAATTATGGAGAAGCGGTCGTCAAATATTTTACTTTCTCTTTCTTTTATACCTATTACTGATCGAGTTCTAGGTCCGTACTACAAGTTACGGACCGATTTTTACCATGCAGATGTATGGCCAAGGGCGAAGTGCGTGGGCCATACTAGATCTGTGCATGATTATCAACGCAGTTTGAGCAGAAATAAACCAAACGCGGTTTTTTTCCTTATTTCCGGTAATTTGCTCTCAATTCCCGATGAGGTAATCCGACCTTTTCAAATCAATTTTGAAGCAGTGGACTTATCGATTGTCGACCGTGGTAAGGAGCGACGTGATTTTCTTTTAGGTGATTACAACATCCATGCAATTCTAGCTCAAGTCATTTGCTGAGACCTTCGATCAAGCAGTTTGTGGCTGGTGTACTGTAACAAACAATTGAAAATACAACTTGGTTAAATCAGTTTGGCCTGATCAAAATACCTAGGCGAATCGGGAAATGCCATTAAAATTGGCCGAAAATTTTCTTCTTCCTCAATGAAAATGTTCAGACATTTCTCATGGTAAAAAACAGAAACTCTTACAGAGATTCTACGAATTAAACATCATCTCAAAATTCGCGGTGACCTCAAATTAGTGTAACACTGTGCGCAGAAATCACTTTCAGAGTATTTCCGCCTAATGCAAGCAAATAGTAAAGAATTTAACAAAAGAAAAAAAAATTAAACAATAATTCTGGAACTTGACGACCAGTTCACGGGAAGATAGCCTATATACCTATAGTTATGTCAGAAACCTTTTCAATTTGTGGATTTGCTATGTGTTGGTCTGGCGGAAACGTTTCGACGAAGTCTGCGATAAATCTGCGAAATATGAATTTGGATATCGTATATATACACTCATAGAAAAATTTTCTAAAGTATCGAATTTTAACTTAGAGGTAAGACTTCAATCAGCGGTTGTTACACAGTCAAAATTCGTTGGCAGGATATTGACTCATTTCTTCCCCACTATTCTAAATAATTGTTGTCATTGCAATACTATTACCTTCGTACGATGTACGATTTTCCAGCTTGAAAATGTGACTATTACTTTCGATGATGGTGTTTATACATCAGCCATAAACTGACCAAACCACTGAGGTGATCAGGTTTTATTTCCCGAGAATGATCCTCGTCCTGGCGAAGATAAGCAGTACCTAGCCGCTATGTATCTTTGAGAACTGAATGACCTTTGTTTTCCTAAGGGTGAGGGTGGAAGGTATGTGCATCCCAAGATATTCGAGACTTAACTTTGATTTCTGTTCCTTTGCAGACGCAGCCGGAGAATAAAGACACTCATTTAAACTACTTTCCCCGAATTAAGGTTAATGTTGGGTTAGGGGGGGGAGGGGTAAGAGCGCAGTTGCTCCTGTAGTTACTGACAACGATCTATTCCTTATGCCTGTGGATATTTCCGCGTGTAAAATTACACCATTAATTCGGAGAAGGATAAACTGATGTCGGTGATGTCAGTTTTGTTACATAATCAGTTTCCTCGAGCGATAATGAACCGTCTACAGTTCTGGAACTATTCTTTTGGTTTGCCAACACGTGTACATCAGTGTCCGGCCCAAGGCAATTCTTTCAGCCATACTCCTTTCAATGTTTTTTTATCGTTTGTTTATCGTTCATGATCGAAGGAGTCTGATTGTTTTGCGACTTCTGATGTTTTGATAATAAATAGGTTAGGTTATAAATAGGTTTCAAGATTCTCTTCAGTTATTTTTCTTATCCAAGCCAGTTTTTTGGCATTTGGGCCGAATGCTCCCTGATTTAATATGTTGATAAAACGCCGTGAAGTTGCAAGAACAGGGACGATATCGATGTCACATTACAAAGGGAATTTCCCGACTTAGTTTCGTTTTATTTTTTTATTAACCTTTTAGTTCCCAAGATGTGATTGTTTTAAAATTCTCCCTTCTAACTGGTACACATTTCCTTGTAAAATAATTATGAGAATTTGGTGTTTATAGTTCATGATAATAACGTCTTCCTGATAAGTTTGAGTATTCTAATTACCTGTTTGTTGGATAATGTATGGATATTATAGGGAGAAGTTACATGCTAATCATTCCTTGGAGTTGAATGGTGAAGGCTTACTCCTTAGAACGAGCGATGCACGGGGAACATGAAACATACTTTGTGTGAAAATAGTGTTTTCTACATGAGTTCTATCACAAATTCTGCTTTCTGATAGGCTTCGCCACTCGTCTGGCTCAGGCCTGGTTTGTTGTTAAGTTTTTAACAAAAGAGAGATTTATTCTATAACAATCAAATTGTTCGCTCGAGATTTGTGTACATGATGGTTGTTGATTCGGGTTTAATTCGCCACTATCAGCCATCACACGATGGAGATCACACGCTCCTTGAATAGTCAGGTCATGTATGACGGAAGTAATCAGGGCCCATTTGTATAAAGGGCGGATAACGCCATCCAACGGATAAATCACTATCCAGCGGATAAGTGATTGTAAAACATACTGCGTTATCCACCGGATAGATTTTTATCCAGAGGATAGTATTATCCTACCTTCGAACAAGCGGGGCCAGATCGATTCGATGGGCTATTTTTTACTTTATTTTAACATTTTGCCGATCACAAGACTTGTACGAGCCTAGGCTTATACTGAGTTATATTCTTGAAAATAAAAAATCTTGGTTTCACAAAGATTGCAGAAAAGCAAAATATTCAGAGGGTCTCAAAGGGGTTTAACATTTAGTTGTAAAACGGCAAACAAAATTAGCTGCTAGGCGTATAAATTGAGAAATTTTAACCGTTAGTCCTAAAGAAATTTAGCGGTGAAAAGTCTTCCTTTAATCTTAACGGAAAGTCATCACCCATTGAGACCCTGTATTTAAACAAACAACGCGAAATGAGTAAAGTTTAATACCAGGTTTGTGTTTTACTTTGGTTGAGCTGAAAATCCTCAAAGACCTTGTAGTCTTATAGAGAAACCAAGAGAACATCAACTGAGAACCTGGATCTTAAAATGCATCATTATTCAACTCAGCGATTCAGCCAGTGTAATTGTCATTGGGAGGGTTTTCGAACACAAATATTCCACAGCGATCCAAATGAATAGTTTTAGAGTAATACACAAGTATCATTTTGGTCATAGAATTTAAAGAAATCAATGCTATAGAATCGTGAGGGCTATTTTAATCGATAATTTTATCAAATCAGCCCAACTGTTATCGCGTCCATTTCTAGTGACATAACTTTCGGGGAAAAAAGGTTTTCTCGTCAGCTGGTAAGCTAATTTTAGTTACGTTTATTCCTTAACCATGTAATTCTGAGAAATTCTGCTGTTTTTTTGAATTAAAAAACATCGTATTATTTCTTTAGATTTGATCTTTTCCGCTTTACCAGCGTCATAATAACAAGGTTGTTCTATTTCCTGTTTGCCATTAATTTCTTTTCAGTTAGCCCTTTTTGCTCAGGTCCAACTACCATCAACGCAGAAAGATCACCAACGAATGTATCTCTCGCAAACTCTCTGCTTTAAGAGCTTTGCTACCAAATTGTTGCATTTAAATAAAGCTTAAATAAAGGGTTAAAGCTGTTGATATCAATTACATACAGAGAAACAAATCCCATTTTTTTATCCCTCAATCATTTCATGTTCATTTTAAACGAGTATGTTAAAGTTACTCACCAGATTACGACTGGTTCTACCTTTCGTAAATCTTGAGGCGGTTACATCCAAATTCAAGATGAATCACGTAAATATTCGACAGTTTTGAATCGCCCATATTCACTGCGGTCGGTAATGAGACACGCAAACTTTATTCGTATATGGGGTCACGAGTTTCGTACCCTGTCAATTACTGTAACAGCACGGGACCAGGACGGGTTGAAAATGATTATAAATAATCACGACTAAAAAGATGAGAGGATTCCTTAAACAGCGTCTATTAAGCGAATACAGGCGAAAGCCCAGTTTTGTCTTCACTTATAAATCATGAAACGAACTTGTATCAGCTGACGCAGCCGTTTGTGACTCAAAATTTGTAATCTCTTGTAAATGCTTGAAAAACTTAATAGTTTCCATGTCGCGTTAAAACTTTACAGTTTCCAAGTCGTGTTAGGTGTACGTTAAAAACAGTCGGAAATCATAAGGAAGCCCAAAATGTAATATTTTATATTTTATTTTTACAACCAGAAGATCTCGTAAGCTGAAAAAATACGGGACGCGCAAATAAGAAATTTCTAGGTAACGGAAGGCGTAAGATAGCCGAGATAGCACGAGATAGCCGCGAACCACGGCACGAGCACGAGATAGCCGTGAACCACGACTATCTCGTGGTTCACTCGTAACAGACAGCTCGCGCAATCTCTTTTTTTCCTAGCAGGATTCTCGCGGGATTTCCCGCTTGTGACGCGCGAGCCATGACTCATGAAGTCCGCTGGCAAGCTTGGTTTAAAAGATTGATTTGAAATCGGTGTTGGAGCCTGAGAGACCTTCCACTGTATCAACCTTTCCATTCAAGAGATCTGAAGATCAATTCTTCAAAATGATGGCGCCGTATTTCTTTACTTCCTAGTCATGGTAATTTGGTGTATAACTTCTGAACTGATCTGTTTCCTCATATCCTGGAAGCGGAAGGTTTGTATATTATGCTGTATGCCTCAAAAACACACTCTGATCATATTAACTCGATGTTGGTCTTTGATACTAAATTTAATTTTCTCAGCACATGAACAAATCAGAATCGTATCGACCCTAAAATTACTGCAACAACTCTTTTGAGAAAAGAAAACTTTAACTTTTCCATTTCATTCTGTTCGACAAAAAAACGTGAAATTTTCATATCAGTGAAATATTAATGGATAATTTTTAGATTTTTATAAGAGTCGGTTGATATCTGAATTTAGAACTGTTAAATGAATGAAAATTAATTTAACGTTCGATTTATAACACAGTTCCTTACCTTAAACGTGGAACGTTCACCTGAGGCTCTCAAAAAGCAACATTGGATTACAAGAGTTTTTTTTTTTGTTTTTGAAAGCTTGAGTCAACTGTCGGTCAATTCAGAAACAGAGGGTTGAAATATTTTACTTTCGTGCAAGTTTATTTGTACTTTTATTGTTGACATTAGACAAAGAAGTTTGTTATTGACAAATTTGATTTCATCAATTTTCAGTCCAACATTGTTGTATCATTAACGTTTTCGAAACTTCTATCAGAACAGTTCTGCTCTTTTTTCGTAACGTCAGTCTGGAGGATTTTTTTACCCATAACACAGAAACGTATAGCAATGAATATTTATGCGAAAAGCTGACGAATGTTTTAAAGCATTTGTCAATGTAACTTTGATTTTACATTGGACTAGACGGCTATCAGTTTCAATGTTTTTTTAAGTAGCAGAATGGATAGAGATCGGAAAGGAAACTCGACACTTGAAACCTTTGGATTTAGTTTCATTCCTTCTTTTCGCAGTCTGTCATCGCCATCTCTGCGACAGCGAAGATAATCTTTTACAACTTTAATAAGATCAGGTTATGGCGTTACTTTAAATCGAAACCTGTCTGAATTCCTCAAAACGCCAGCTGGTTGACTAGCAACGGTTCCTGGTAATTTTACCGCGTAAGTTTTTTGCTTGCTTTACTTGCACATAAAGATTGTGAATTGATAGTATCTTTCTAACAATGGAGTATGTCTCGTGCAGGAGAAACTTCAAGCTCTCAAAATGATTTTCAATGTTTCTGTCAAAATGACAGCGATTGTGTTGGCCTGCAGCGCTCAGTATCTTCTTGGTGAAAATAATGGGTGCCATTTTGCTTTTAACAGCAGGGAAAGGCTGGAAAGAGAAAAAAGATTGTACCAAGGGGGTGAGCGACGGTCAAAAGGAGGGAGAGAGGAGTGGGTGGGGCAATAGAAATTACCCAGTCTCCTCGCCTTTCTCCTGTCTCTCCCACACCGTCCACTCTTACCATGGTCTAAAATCAAACACAGCCTCTCGATAGCGTATACGCTATGAACGCACTAAGACAACGAAAAGTAATATCTAGAGCTGCGTATTATACTCGATTTCTATAAATAATCATTTGAAAATATTCACCACAATCTCAGACGTTGCTTTTCATAATAACATTTTTATTTCCCCCAAACTATTTCCTATTCGTGATGACTAAAAAAAATTACCACTATCAAAACTCGAGGCGATATGAGAATTCACTTTCATTTAAAAACTAATTAGGAGCTGCCTCTCAAATTACTCAGCATTGCACTTCAATGTTTAAAATGGTTATGAGCGTATTAGGTTTCCTTTCACACTTCTAAACGGAAACGCACAGCGATTATGATGTGATGCAAGCAAGATTTGGTACAAGTTCCTGATATATTTATATTTAGTAGATCAAGGGAAACAGCATAACACTCTTATAAGCAAATCATGAAAATGGTCGAGCGAAAACCGGAGCGAGGTATTTGGGAAAACTCTCTCCAGCCCTTCTCTCCATTTTCATGCTCGATCGAAGGCAATAGTAGTTCATTATAATTCTCATATTTTTAAATTTCTTTTTCAAACAGCTTTACTAATTTTCCTTTGTTACTCAGGCCCGATGTAAGTGTTGGAATTCTCCCTAACTGCAATGTGACCAGTTATGAAAAAAACTTTCACGATGTTAACAAAGTTATCAACTTAGGTAGTTATATTTTTCACGTATTCTCCTAATTAGGATTATAGCGAATGCATGAATAGAACACAAGTCAGTACGAAGAATTCTTTACAATGGGGGCTCAATAGAATTGAGAGGTGTCGAATGTTGTTGATACGGAAGGTGAAGTACGGCTGGATGTTCCAAGTTCTGAGTTATGCGGGAGATGGAGGGATACGCCTCCTGACAGCTTATGCTTTCTGCCTTTTTGATCAAAGAACAGGATATCAGAATCATTCTGTATCTCTCAACGAAGGGTTTAGCTACCTTTAGTTTCGAAAGGGTAAATTCTTCTTGAAATCTTCCATTATTCTCGTTCAGACATGTCTGAGAAACTAATGTACAAATGAAAGAATAAAAAAATTTTCGATGACAGTAATCTGGAACGGCACATCATCGTTCTTTTCCTGCGTTTTGTCTAAAACAGAGTCGCAATTTTACCCGCATCTTGAAACAGGTCTACGGCACAACTCAAAGGGTCAGCGGCACATCCCCTTTATGATTTACAGGACCATCTCCCGCATACTGAACCTACGTAACTTCATCTTCTTACGGGCACGGAAAAGGAATGATAAAAAAAAGGCCGTATTTAAAATGAACGACCTGGTCCAATATACAAAAATAGCGTATACGCGTCTAAGAATATCATGTTAAGTAAACTATATAGCATCTCTACGGAAATGTATATTAAAAAAACAAAAACAAAAAAAACATGCTGATATATAAAATTATTGTTGGTAAACCATTAAAAACTGTCACCAATTGTCCATAGTTTGAAGAAATCTCGAGAAAAATCTACTTTTAAGGGCTAAGAGAACTTTTCTTCCAAAATGACGTTGAAAATAGTCAAACAAGCAAATAACGCGATACCATTAAGTAAACCGTTTTCGCTGAATGCAAAAGTGCCAAGCGTTATTTCCTTCAGTTTTCATGGTTTTAGGGGTTGGATGGCGTACGGCTGCACAGAAATATGCTTGATATTTCACGCGATTTCGTCAAACCCTCGGACGAATATTTTTGACGGCTACACTACACACCCTGAATAAAATATCCCTTCCAAACTTAAAATTGAGCTCTAAGAATCGTCATTGACGCCTTGAACCCTAAAATATGGGGTATATTTGTAATCCTCAAACTGAGGGAACTCTCAAATTCTACATGGAAAACTCTCGTATGGTTATGTACAACGTACATGTATGAGCCTTAAGGGAGAAGCAGAGTTACACCTTGACCTCTCTCTCGGCCCAGGTCACCCGTTCACAACTGGCTGATCCCATCACAAGAAACAAACTATGATGAATCCCATCTAATTTCTTTTTTCACTTTCTCTTACTTTGATCCTAAACACTGGTTGGTTTCACTGAATTTAGTTGGAATCATTTTTCGTTTCCTATGATGCGATTGGTTAATTGTGTTTAAGTGGCTCGGTGACAGTAGTGACATTGTAAACGAATCAACAGCGAAAAATCTTACTGAGAAGATTGAAAACTAATATATTTTGTGATTATTTGATAACAAAGGCTTTAATGCTGGAAGTCAGAAGAACATGGTTCTACTGAAACAGCGAATGGAGGGAAAAAACATAGAGAGTTGTAAAATAAAACTAGCAACTACAAATAAAAAAGTTGAAATAAGCATTGAATTATTTGTTCCGTTAGCGAAACATGCTCATTGGGCTTAATTACACAATAATCCATAAAAGCTATTGATGATTCAATTCTACTGTGCAGTTGTGTCACGAATGTCGACTTAGCTGTGTTTTTTACTGCACTTCCATATAACAATGCATCTAATGAAAGAGAGAAAAAAAAAAGACAAAGGTGAGTTTATATGACACGTTTTACCCGCTCCACCCTTATTCCAAATTTTGGAGGAGAGGCAACCTAGCAATTCCTACCCAGGTTCCTGAGGTACATATAATCAAGAAGATCGAGACATTGGGGACCCTGGGAAAGGTGAGGTGTTCTCCTTTCAATGTTTGTTATTTACTCAGTTCCTTCTGGACGGGAAGGGTCTTTTGTAAAGGATATATTCAGAGGTATCGTTGATACTGAATAGAGCATTATAGCCTCAATGGATGTTGAGAAAATTAGCTTAGAAAAATCAAATAGAGCGACTTACACAATTTTGTCCTTTTTGGACCGATGAATACTTACCACTAAAAAGAGCAATCCAAGAAACAGGGCCTTATCT